CTCTTGCCTTTTCCCGATGGGCCTGCAAACTAGCCTCGTTCCATATGGTTGCCAAAACTTGGCTGCTGCCTTGAGATTCCCCGCGAGAACCTTGAGAAGGCTGAAATCTCGGTTTGCCTGTGAGAAGCTGTGTTGGTAGTTCCGTTACCTCGGTTTCAGGGAAGGTGTGCCGAGGACTTTGCAAAAGAAAGCCATCTCTGCCTCTACTCCTTAGGCTACTACCCCGGGAATCCAAAAGAGAGTGCTTCAGATCGGCCGTTATTTGCGTCATTCGCCTCCTTGCCCTTCTTCATCGCTCCACGCTTATCGCCCGGAAACATGGCTAAAGTCAGCTTCATCCTCAACTCGTGGCGCACAAGGCGACAAGAATAAGAAGAGAAAAACGGAACCAGAACCGGTTGGTAAAAACCAAGGCTCCCTCCCAGACAATCTCCAGTTTCGCCACTGCTCCAAGATGACCTCCTGGGTGAAGCCTTGACAAATACCGGGTGATATAGCTTCTTCCATCTCCCATCCCATCTACACACGCCCCACCTCCCCTCATCGCCTTTTCTTAGCCCCATCCCTTACTCCTACTATTAATATAGAAAACCTAGGTTTCCTTCGAGAATAGGTTAGCGAAGCCATATATCGTAAGAAAACGTAAACGGGAAGGAGTGGTGGTACCTTGTCTTGATTCTTCCACGCCACCCTTCCTTTTCGCGAGGAACGCATGCGTACCTGACGCCAGATAGGACGATTCGGGGCCTCATTCGCGTTGCCCTACCAAGAAACCTCTTTCGCTAACCACCCCTATGCTCTGGTTTGAACAAGTTCCGGTTTCCCCTGTGAGGACCCTATCTTCTGGAGAGGAGGTGTCCATCAAAGGGAAAAAATGTACTTCTCCCTTTAGGCCATAATATACCTCTGCCTGATTTCCCGGAACCCTCACTGCTCGAGCGAGGGAACTCTCAATCTATCCGGATTAATGCAGATTATAGGGAAGAAGGGGAAAATTCAGAGGAGAAGAATTGTCCACGACTTCGCAAGAATGTGGATGAATATTTTCCCAGGAAGAGAGTGAGAAGAGAATGTGAAGAGCCCTTCCAGCCATTGTCTGGGACACATAACGTGATGAATCCTGTCAGAGACCCAACATGTTTTTCCGCTCTCACGAGCACTGACTTTGACTTCACGGACTTTGCAATCTTTCTGTTCTTGGGCTTGAACCCTCAGACATTCTCCTCCCTTGGGATGACAAGACCGCACACTTCATCTAAAAGAAGCGAAAGACCAATCCTTGCAGAAGAAAGAGGAAAAAACGGGGAAACTAGCCCAATGGTGCCTTGGCACTCACCTATTCCCGGATAGATCAAGAAAAAAAAGAGACGAAGCGAAGCGAATTTGATTACGCGAAATGGAAAGAATGTCGAGAAAGAATGAAAGACTGAGAAAACACCCCGACTCGTTTAGGCGAAGGAGGGTGGGGTGGTCACCTTTTCCCGGAAAAGATGAGGTTCATGATGAAGCGAGGATGAGAAGGGAGGGTGTGAGGTGCCTTTTTAGCGAGAGTCGAGGTACTATATCCTAAACGTCGAGTTTATCATCGTATGAGGGGAACTGAGGAAAACCGTAGAAGCGGTGGAAGGACGGAAAGAGTACACGGTGATGTCAATAATATATAACGGGGGAGATGTAGAAACGGTGTGGCAACTTAGCGCTCCCGTCGGTGTCCATCGTCCCGGGAGGGAGGACGGGGGAAGGACGGGTTCTATCACCACAGAGAGGGGATGACGAGGGGGAAGCTACCGTGGTTGACTCGTAGAGTAGAATCTGAACAGCTGCCACCTTCATCGTAATATATTCCTCACGTGGAAGAACATGCAGGATTGGAACCGACTCACACACTACCGTGGTGAGGACGTGGTGGGTGAACCGGCTTTGGGTTGTGCCTCGACCATACTTTCAATAGCGAGACGATTGTGGTGTCCACCACGGAGGGGAAACGGAGGACAGATGCGGAGATACCTCTCCCCAAGAGGGTGCTGAAAACACCGGCATAATGAAGAAGAGGAGGTCTTCTGTTACAAAGTAAGACCCGAACCCGAACATGAACCGCTCCTCGATGCCTTCACGCCTCCGTCACACCCAACTTCCCGTGTTCCCAACCACCAGGCGGAATCGAGGCCGTCCCCGAACCTAATCTGTCCCGTTTCGTCCTCAGTTCCATCTCTCCCCTCTTGTTCAGTTCTGACGCAGGAAACGTGTGAATACGGAGGTGCCCATCTGTCTCGCGCGGGAGAGAACCAAACCTCGAGAACGTGTTGAAACAAAACATTCCGCGGCATATCTCGACATCTGCGAACCGGTATCATCCAATGAATCTGGTCAAGATTCGAGACGAGAACCAACTACCTCCACCAACACCTTGAGTTCCCTCGCGTCCAACTTACCTCCCAACCTTCCAGATTTGCAATCACCCCTCCTGGAAACAGCTCACACTCTGACCTTCTTCTCCTCCAAGTCTCGATGTGGAACAAAAACACCTCCTTCCGTTAGACCCTTACGGAGAACTACAGCCACTCCTCTCGTGATGGCAAGAACCTAAGGGAGATATAGGGTGTGAAAGAATCAAAGCCCAAGTCTCCAAAGGACCTGAACGACCCGCCGCATCCAAACACACTTCTTCTCTCACTGCCGCATCCTTCAGTCCCCTGGAGGGGAAACTCGGGACCAGAATGGTGTGGCTGGCAATATATCAAATCATGTTATAACCCGGTCTTATACCAGAAAGCCCTCGTTTTCCCTCTAGCGAAGTTCTCTCACCTACGTCCTTTTCGGAATATATCCCACTCTGTTCCTATTCGTCGCCCGCCGAGGGGGCGTGTAGATTTAGACGGTGATATGTATTGCTTAAGGCCCTGTGTTATTACTTTGTGATTACTTCTTCCTTCAGGTGGGAGGAAATACGAGCAAAAGTCTCCAAATCGGGAAATAGAAGAACTTCTGTAAACTTGGTTCCAGAGCCAAGGATGTAATAGCGTCTGTTTGTTTCGTTCTTTTTAATATCTCGATCCAAGCAGTAAGGATTGTAATCGTGGGTTAGCACGAAGCCCGCAGCATTTCCCCCTCTTCGGAGGGAGCTCCCGTCCAGCATGCAAGCCTGAGAGGAAGGGATCGGCGGAAACAAAGAGCGGCAAAGGGAGAGTCCACCATAATGCGTATGCACAGCTGGCTTGGCCTTTAGCAGTTCCTGCGTATTCCCTCTCCATATTATGCCGCTCCTGATACCCGGACGGAGCAAGGTTGGTGTGGGCGGCATAAGGTGCTTAGCTGACATGCTAAGAGTGAAAGTGAAGAGGAACGTAGGGCCAAAGAGGAAGGATCTTCGGTGCCTGGCTGGGCGGGGGCGCCGCGAGTAGGCAAAATCAGGGAAGTTAACAGCGGTTGGTTATATTTGGGAATATTGCCATAGATGGTTTGCTCAGGGCGCAGGAGGCCTCGATATCCGGGCTCGGTTTGCTTGCCCCTTATGAGGAAGATTGGTTGGCATGGGAAGGTGGGCGATGTTGATACCAAGTAAAGATGAAGATAGTTGGCCTTTGCTAGACCTTCTTGGAGTCGATGTGATCAAGTCCGGTCGTAAAGTTCGAACAACGGACCGCCTTTTTCTTGACCAAAATGAGGCACTAGATATAGTCATCGTGATCTCGTCGGCCATTCTCCTTGTTGAACTTAAACATCCTCAAGTACCTTAAAACTCCATTGAGCCTAGTCCATTGAGGAGGAAGATTGCCCGTGCTAGCTGTAAAAGCCGTAGCCTTGTCCCATGGGGCAAGTGCTCGGGGGATAGACACAGCTCGGGTCCTTCGGATGGGATCCAGAACCCTATCCTCCAAGGTCGCCACAGCCAAAGACGCGATGGGAGGCTATGAAGTCAACAAGCTCTGTCTCGCTAGCGTAGGTTTACAGCGGGGCTGTGATCGTGTGAGTGGAGAGATATTTCCTCCGCGAGCCAGTCCTCACATTCAATCTCGTAGTCTGATATCATCATGGCTTCGAGGTCCTTCTTCTGTTCCGGGTGGCATAGAACGTCTGGCTTAGCAGGGGCACCGCAGAATTTCATCGCAACATGACATAGAAGGCTCACCTCTCCACGTAGGAAGCTCACTCCTTGGCCACTGCTCCTGCAAGGCTCGAGACGACAGGACTAGTCAAATCCGTCCCCGAAGCTATTCTGCGTCGCCTAGCCTAACCATCTTGCTGAGAGAGTATCATAAGCCCGGCTTCTAGAGACCTCGGGCGATAGAAAGTACTGGGGACCTGGCCCACTGAGATATTCACTGCTAGTCTGCAAACAACATCTGTTAAGCCGAGGCCCTCATTCATGCTCAGCGATAAAACATTCTCATCCAAGAAAGCCCAAAACTTTTGATATTCAACATTATATATACAAGACATCCATCCCGAATCATTCTTCTAGCAGGAACGCTAGACAAGGAGGTCAAACGTGAAAGAATCGAAAATATATACAGAGACGATAAGAGTCGAGTGTCCGAAAAAGGGTGAAGTAAAAGCTGGACGGCTTGGCCGCTCTCAATGGGTGAGAGGGTATGAACGGAAGAAGTGGGAATAATATACCACGTGCCAACCTGGTATAAAAACTCGTCAGGTAAAAGTACAGGTCTAGATGAGAAATGAACTTTGAATGTGGCCTGGACGTCGGTCCAGAGATCGAACGCCGGCGAGCCTGATATCCTTGAGGACGGATTCTCCAGAGTGCGAGGTGCTGTGTCGTCGGTAATCCTGGGAGGACCGCTAGGAAACATGTAAAGAAAAAAAATTATGAAAAGAAATAGAGAAAGCCCGCTAGATGCCAATACCGTAAATGCTATCCCATATAAGAGCCCAACGCCGGAAAATAAAATCCATCACGCCGCCACGTATCAGCTCACAAATGCCTCCCACTGCCTTCACCGTCCAAGGCAAAAGGGGGTCTGCGTACTCCACTGGGGCTAACTCTATAATAGCCAGGTGAAAACCACGGCGAACACCGCCGTCGAGACAGCCAGAGATGATATCGCAAAGCGACCGGCAGCATCTTGGATCTCAGCGGGTAGGGTATCGTTGGCGAACTGCGGTCCGCAAATGGAATTGAGGGTTTCAGCTGCGGCGACGTAGGTATTGGCAATAGCTTGCTTCCGGTACGCGGCGGCAGCTTGATAGATGGCCATAGTGTCCTGGAGACACTTGCTGCAGGCCGGGTTCGCCGCCTGCGGTAATGCCTTGTTCAGGGGCAAGTAGTAGAAGTAGGCGTTGGCCGGTGTGCTTGTGTTCGTTACGGCGTTCGCAAAACAGTACATGTCGTCATTCTCTTCATCCCGGAGGCAAGTTGCCTTGTAGAGAACGTTATACGCCCTCAGACCCACGTACGCCTGCATGATGTTGGGCTGGCCGGAGTTGTATTCCTGGCTACAGTTCTCATCGGAGATCAATTCCTTCGCCTTATCCTTGAGGAAGGTGGTGCAAAAGTCAACATCAGCAGAGCAAGCGGCGTCGAGGACCCTGACAATGCTTGGCAGCTCCTTGGTTGCCTCGAACCAGGATCTCGAGGTCTAAGATAACAATTTATCGGTTAGCGGCGATATCCCAATCGTCTCTGGCAATTTGATATCTGGACTTTTACTCCTCTTACCTCGAGCATCAGAGACACGGGGTAACACCCTTTAAAGGTCTCGTCGGTGAGCAGATCGTTTAGGAACTTGGGGCATGACTTTCCACCGTTGCTGGTGAAGTTGAAGTCTATACCACTGTCGAAGGGGGAGGGTAGAGGAGAGGGTGTGGTGCTCGTCGTTGTGCTTGAGGAGCCTGTCCGCGTGGAGCCCGCGTTTGAGGAGATTCTGCTAGACGAGCCGTCGTCGGTGGCGCGAGCGGTCCGAGAAGGCGTTGTGGTTGGTGCCGGCGTACTCTCCTCCTCATCCTTCTTCTGCCGCTTGCGCAAATCGATTTCGCCGTCGGCTAACACCAAAGGCGATCCGCCGTCGACCGCTACTGGTATAGCGTTATCGATGATCAAGGCGTCAGTGGGAGCAGCGACGCCGTCTGCAGGTGTCACCCGAGGTGTTGTCGCCGTCGATAGGGAAAAGATCGCGGCGAGGCCCAGTAAGAATAACCATTGCAACTTCAAGCGAGGCCTAGAAGGCGGCAAGCGCGATGACGAGCATCGGCTCTGTGTATGTAGGGAATCTGGTATTAAGGGAGCCATATCGTCTGGCTGGATTTGACAAGTTCTCGAGTTAATAGTAATGATGTTACATTTAACGAGAGTCCGACCGCTCGAGCTCCGACGCGTAGAGTCAAACCGGAATCGTCTATCAAGAGATCAGTGGGTCGACGTTGGAAGCAACGGAAAGCAGGGATCCTGGACTGAGGAGGCTCAGAATGGGGAAAGATCCTGAAGGAGAGTCGTTCGGCGGGGTTGATCGATCCTATAATTCGGAAGATGGACGCTGGGCGAAGCGGTCCGCGACTCGATTTCGACAGAATGGCTGTTACTTCGTAAAAGTGAGGATTCGATCCGACAGGGCGAAGGGAGAGTCGGTTGCAGAGAGGTGCTAGGTTGGAGAGGGGGACCGCGACGAATTCGGGACTTGTCCAAAAGATCTGGTTCGGCTGCTCACCCGCTAGAAAACCAACGGGATTGCGAAGAGCGAGAAATATATGAGGCAGGCAAATTGGTTTAATTTGCCTTTGTCGTAGATTCTATAAGTGCAGAATAACCAGGAATTATCTGTCTTGACAAGCAACTGGCATAATCCGGGGGTTAATTTTGGGATCGGTTCGGGCGATCAGAGGGTCGAGGTTTCGTTTCCTTTCTCGTCGAAAGCGGCCCAACGACAAGCTTGTGGGTTGAGATGAGAGAAGTCTCAGTTGAGAACACTTGGATTGTGCCCCAGTCGATTGCCAGGTGAGGCGGGGCGATGTAGTGAGGATCGCGTCGCGCCCTGGATGCAGTGTCAAATGCTGTCTGCGCGGCCGCTGTTCACACTCTCAAGTCTCGTTCCCCTGGTACTAGATCGCTCGCTGGATCGACGATGGATCTGTCATTTCTCGAGAGAAAGAATGCGGACAAGGAGTAGAGCGGGACAAGGAAGGGGGCCGAAAAGGTATATAGCAATATGGGAGGGCGGATAAAATAAACAGTTAGAGTGCGAACAGGGTCAGTAGGAGCCGCGATTGGGAGACCGATTGGGAAAGGAGATGGAGCTATCCTAGTTTGCATATAACAATATCGACCATACTGAATTAATATCGCCTCGTTCAGAATCAAATGTTATCCAAGTGGGAATTGGCTGGCACTAGGGAGCTGCGATTGGACGATTTGCTAGAGAGCGACAGGGGCAGACCACCGATGGAGGATGGAGTCATGGACAGGGGTGTGAGGTGTGAGAGGGAGAGTTGCAATCGCATCAATTGATCTGACAAGGGGCAAGTTGAGGTGTTCGTAACGAAGTACTTTGCATAGTTTATAGTACGAGGTAGTACATGCTCAGGGTTTTGGTCCATCCAATATCGGAGCAAATTGGGAATGCGAATCGAACAATTGTGCTTGACGAGTACGAAAGAATCGTTCAATGACACTTTGCGGTTGAATGGCGTGAATGAATAGCAGCAAGGAAGATCTCTTTGAAGAAACAATAGGAAATAAACGACGATGGTTCTCGAGGTTGATTGTTATGCAGTCAAGGAATGCGGAGTTGAGCTTGGGCAACGTCGGGACGAGACACGCGGTTTCCTGAATAAACTTTGCATCATGCTCCTTCCCAAGCAAGAAGGTTTTGTGCCATTTGATGATAAGAGATCAAATCTTCTTCGGGATGTACGAAGTACTTCGTTGAGTTTCTCCGGTTTGTCCTTCCTGCCATGTGGATTCGGGACTGTGCACATGCTGCACACGGGTTCGTGCTTTCGTACCTGGTGCCTGGCGTTTTCCCCTATCAAGAAAGCTTGACCACTGACAGCTCTCAAGTCCGTCGTCCTGGGAAGTACTGCCTTCCACTCAACACCACTCAATCATTTACTTCATATTCGTACGAAGTACACTCTTCACTTTGAAGTCTGAATACCTGACGAACGGGAGATGAAAATTTTCAATTGCCCACCTTACTAACTTACTCCGAACAAAAAACGTCGATCAATTGATCCTTTTGTCGTGAAGTCTAGGAGTGGAGAGTCCTTCGCATGAGTTTGAATTCGCGTCTATGAAGTCTTCGGGACAGCACAGCCCACCGAGCTCCTACAAGTGTACTTCGTAGCCATTAGTGGACATCGATTTATGCTCAGGAGCCCCAGGATGCGTTTCCCTATCCGATTCGTATTAACGCTTAAGGGGATCGCACCTTCTCCTTGGCTGGTTGACAAGGTGTGTCTTTCCCTCTCCTGAAGCATATGATCCTAGATGTCTCAGCTGAGTGCCGCGAGTTTGGGAAAGTGCATCCATATCCTCTACGAAGTACAGAGCACAAGAGTACAAAGTTACTTTGTCTTTATCAGTGCTCATCCTTCGTCCTTCGCGAGCTTCCAGACCTTCGTCGTTGACAGCAAAACGGTCGAGTCAAGTTCAGACACCCAGCGCATCATCTAATTTAACTGATCCTTCCAGCAATCAGCTAACCTTAGCCTGCCTGTCGCGTGGTCTGCCAGTCTTAGCTGCAGACACCGACATATCTCTGACACCAATACCCGACTCGAGCTGCAACCCTGCAGGACAGTTGCAATTTTCTTCGTTGATCCTTGTTGAAAAGAAGCTATCGTTGCGTTTACTTCGTATTAATCGCTCGGTGGTGGTAAACCAATAAACGCCGTTTCGGAAACACCTCATCAATACGATCAAATCCATTTACCTCTTTCAGCCCTGGCGTATCTGCCAAGAGCCAGTATTGATCTTTCATCCACCAGTGTCCCACCAGTGTCCAATCCTCACCGGAGAGCAAAGGCCAACTGGCGTCCCCATTCCCAGCCCGACCGTTGGGATTCGTCATCCGTTGACCTCTCCACTCTCCACAATTGCCTGCGCCAACCCACATCGACAAAGTCCATCCATCTTAGGATCTACACTAAGGCTGGAAATAAGGTAACGGGGACATTGTCTCCACGACTTATTCCATCGGATTGCACTCTATACAGATGGTGCAATTACCACAATCATAACCAAAGGAACAGACACACTAAAGTCGCCAATAAAGACGCCAGGTTGGCGGGCGAAAAGCCTTCATCTAATAAACCAAGTAGATTCATATTCTCGTTGATTCTTCTTGTACTTCGGATGGGAGTTCATATTCCCCTAGCGCTTACGGTGACGCTTAGCCACCACTTGCCTGGCAAGCCACCGTCATGGTCGCTGATTCTCGTGTCCCTACTTGTGATAACGAGGTCCGATATCATCTTGATATTTCATAACAGCCTTGGGTCTCAAGCGGCTAGCTCAACTCTGTATTAACCACAAAGTCCTCCCTCGCATCATGATGCCATTCTCACCTCCGAGCACACCGAGACGGTGATCCGATCTTTTCCAAGCTCCACCAGAAAATTTCTCGTTGGCAAACAGCTCTCCTCCCGCGCTGCAAGCCCCACCAAAGAGCCCAGTACGGAGTCATCTCGCGAAGATCTCGATCTCAAGAGCACACTATTTCCGCACAACTTTGCCAAGGTGCGCTAAGGTATATATGCATATATATAAAATATATATCCACTACGCTACTCTCGAGAAGAAGGGAGGACCGAAGCTAAGATTCGGACCGTCCTCTCTGCTCCACAAAGAACAACATCAGTCCACTTCATGTACGCCTTCCTTCGTCGCTTCTCACCATACACTATGCATCAACCTTCGTCCGATCATCCAAGACCTGCATGCAGTCTTGACTGTTCAACGGCCGCGACTCGGGTGTAGGTGCATTAGTCGGTTTTTCAGATGGAGCCCCCGTCCGTGGGTGGTTACGACTTGTCGCTCATATGAATTTAACGAGGCGATGGCCAGCTTCACCAACAGAAACTTATCACCGACGGAAACCCGTTGACGTTCAAATAATTTGCTTTCGTCTCTTCCCGTCCTATCTATTCAGTGTTTATTCTTAGATATCTGGTGCTTCGTAAATCTCACACGCCCACATCCACCTTTTCTTTTGGGATTCATATTAAATACATGTATTGCGACAACTCAACGCAAAGAAAGCAAATAGTCCAGACAAATGGTCTCAGGACTAAAAACACGAGGAAACCAGAAGGAAAGTGATAACAGAAAACGCCTCTATATGCAATGCGACATCTCCGTGCTCAAAACAAACCTCGCCTAATTAGAGTTATCTAAAGGATGTGTATGTGCATGCTCAAACAGAGAAAAGAAAAAAGAGAGACGGAAGAAGAAAGAGGGGAGAAAGATTCATCACCTCTTCTCCAAGCTCTGCAAGTTCACCAACTCGGCATACCGCCCATTATGCACCATCAACTCCGTATGCGTTCCCCTCTCCACGATCCTCCCCTGGTCAAACACATAAATCACATCCGCCTTCTGAATCGTGCTCAACCTATGCGCGACCGCAATCGTCGTTCGGCCCTTGGCAGCCTTGTCGAGCGCCGCCTGCACGACATGCTCGCTCTCCGAGTCGAGGGCCGAGGTGGCCTCATCGAGGAGCAGGATGCGCGGGTCGCGGATGAGCGCGCGGGCGATGGCGATGCGCTGTTTCTGGCCTCCGGAGAGGAGCGCGCCCTTGGAGCCCACGAGCGTGTTGAACCCTTCGGGGAGGGACATGATAAAGTCGAAGATGTTGGCCTCGCGGCAGGCGTGCTCGATGGCTTCGTCGGAGACGTCGTCGCGGGGGGAGCCGAGGAGGATGTTGTCGCGGATCGTGCCTTGATAGAGTGTGGGTTCTTGGCTGACGAGCGCGATGTACGAGCGGTATTGCGTGACGTTGAGAGTGCTAATCTCCTTGCCGTCAACGTAGATGCCGCCGGCGAGCGGGTCGTAGAAACGCTCGAGGAGCGCGACAGTGGTACTCTTGCCGCAGCCGGAGGCACCGACGAGGGCCACGTACTGGCCCGGCTGGACGTCGAGGTTGAGACCGCGAAGAACGGGCTGTTCGGGGCGCGTGGGATAGCGGAAGTGCACATCTCGGAACTCGATGGCGCCCTCGACGGAGTCAACAGCCACTCCCTTATCCGACCACGTATCGATCTCGGGCTTGCGGTCGAAGAGAGTCTTGAGCTCGGCCGCGGCGTGATGCGCCTTGCCCATATCGGGCGCAAACGAGAAGATGGAGCCAGCAGACTGAGCGCCGAAGATGACAGCGGAGAAGCACAGGAAGAACTTGAACATGTCGTACTCGAACTTGGCGATGAGCGTTCCTCCGTACCAGAAACCGAGCGCGAGGGCCAGGAACGTGAAAGACTGCGACGCGGCGTAGAGCAGACTAGACTTAAGCACCGAGATCAAGCTAGCACGCTGCTGGCGGTCGAGGGACGCCTTATACTGCGCGAGGACGTCGGCCTCTCGCGTGAGCGAAGCGACAGTACGGATAGCCGAGATGGCTTCAGAGGCGTAGCTGGCCGAGTCGGCGTACGCCCTCTTCGATCGTCGTTGGAAGTGCGCGAGCATCCAGAAACGGAAGAAACCGCACCCGAGGAGGACAGGGATGGTAGAAGCGCACACGAGAGACAGCTTCCAGCCAATAGAGATGGAGAGCGCTAGTGCTGCGACCAGTGTAGTGCAGACCATGAGAAGGGTACCAAGAGTGACACCGCTAAGACCGGCGACGTGGGTCGTCTCGGTAGACAGGAAAGACGTCAAAGCACCAGCCGTGTTCTCATCCCTATCGAAGAAGGCAACGTCTTGGCGAAGCATGCTTCGGAAAGCCCTGTCGCGAACTCGGTGGACGAGCCTCTCGGAGCACTTGGCGAAGATGACACCTTGGACGGCGAAGGCGATGAACTGCACAAAGGCGAGCATGAGGTACATGGCACTCCAGAAGTCGGAATCCTTCTTGACCTGGTGCCTGTTGGCATCGGTAATGGGCACGGACAAGGTGACAATTTCTTTGGCGAAGAAGAGGGCTTGCGTCGGGTTACCACCACCACAAATGACGGTGAAGGCGAAGGCGATGGCCATAAGGAACTTCTCGCGCTTGTTGAACGAGGCGATAAGTTTGATTAGAGTCCACAAGCCGTACTTCTTCTCCTCCTCCGATCCACCCTTGCCCTGGAGCGCAAGGCTGGAGGCAGACTTGCTCGTGGCCGTTCTGTGGAGCTTATCGAAATTGTCATCAGGGTCGGCGGTAGGTCCTCCATTCTTATTCGACAGCTCACGTGTGAGCTCGGCCTCCTTCGCCTCGATAGCATCCTCCTCCTCGGGGGTTAGATCCGGAACCGCGGAAATGTTCTGGGCAGACACGAGGTTGTAGTAGGCACCGCGGCGCTCAAGCAAGTCGTTGTGGGTTCCTTGTTCGATTATTTTACCCTCGGACATTACAACGATGCTATGGGCATCCTTGATGGTGGAGAGACGGTGGGCAATGGTGATTGTGGTACGGCCTTCAGCGGCGGCTTCGAGGGCAGCTTGAACAACACCCTCGGACTTGGTGTCAAGGGCAGAGGTAGCCTCATCAAGGAGAAGAACTGGAGAGGCGTTAGGTCAGTCATATTATTTTAGAAGTCGACCAGCGATATGTTCAAAGGAATAAAGGCCAAAAAGGGATGTGAGTGAAGAAATAATTTTGCTTACTCTTAGGATCAGAAACAATAGCTCGAGCGATGGCAATACGCTGCTTCTGACCACCAGAAAGCAAGAATCCGCGTTCGCCGACATTGGTTTCATAACCCTCAGGAAGGGCCGAAATGAAATCGTGAGCATTCGCCTTCTTGGCGGCCTCGATGATAAGTTCTCGCTGCTTCTCCTCGGTATCGTGTTCGAACCCGGTACCGATGAGGCCGTATCGGATATTGTGGAAGATGGTGGTACCGAAGAGAGTGGGCTCCTGCTGGACGAGAGAGATCTGCTGGCGAAGCCATCGGAGGTTGAGGGTTTTGACGTCTTTGCCATCAATCAAGACGGCGCCCTCGACGGGATCATAGAAACGTTCGACGAGACCGACAATGGTTGATTTGCCGGAACCAGAGGCGCCGACAAGAGCCGTCGTCTTTCCGGCGGGAATAGTCAAGGAAACACCATCCATGACGACGACTTCGGGCCGCGAAGGGTAGATGTGCTTGATGTTCTGGAGGGTGATGGTACCCTCAACCTTCTCGGGCTTCTCACCCTCGTCGCTGGTGGGGTCGAGAGGCGACACACGATCAATGGTGTTGAAAATCTTGGCAGCGGCACCGAGGGCAGTGGTGAAAGCCTGGATGTTCGGCGCGACGTTTCCGATATTGAAGGCGCCAATCATGACGGCCAACATGATGGTCAAGATACTAGAAAGCTTCGATTCACCATCGACAATGAACTTGGAACCCATCCAGAAAGCGAGACCATAGTTGAGGTAGAGAATCAACATCATGCCGGCAACCATGACACCGATGGCGCCCTTGACCTTGAAACCGAAGAACTCGGCACGGGCCAAATGGCTGTCGTACTGTTTCGCCAAACGTTCCTGAGTACCAAAAGCGATGGCATTTCGGACAGAGCTGATGACCTCCTCGGCAAGACTTCCACCTTCGGCATAAGCGTCCAGGGACTGCTTGCTGTACTTCAGGATGAATTTCGAGCCACCACCCATGTTGAGAACAAGGGCGACGACAGTGGAAAAGAGAATGAGGGTGAGTTTCCAGTACTTGATGAAGCCTGAATGGTTGTCATTATTAGCACTTAATAATACATAGACAAGAAGAAAGCTACTCACCAATAACAAAGGCCGAGATAAAGGTGGCAATGGCCATGAGGGTAAGGCCAACCTTCTCAGAAATACCATCTTGGATGAGGTTGGTATCGGCAGTGATCCTGGTAGTAACCTCACCAGCACCGAGCTTGTCGAAAAAACCGATATTCTGCCTCATGCAACTTGCAAGATAATGCTCACGAATCTTGGCGCTGATGTGCTCACCAGTGTCTAGAAAAAGTTGTGGCTTGTTAGCACAGCCGCTCTGTAGATTAACATCTCCCCCACACAATAAAAGGCTTCGAGGAGAGTTGCCGACTGGTGAGATGTTTCCCGGTTACATGTTTGCCAAGGGCTATTAAAAAACCGCTGGTAATAATATGTAGGAAACAACCAAGCCAATGGATCGGCGTAATCAGAAAGCAAATACAGGTACATGACTTACAGATGAAACCGACAGTGGAAATATAGACGCAGACCTATCAGAACCACAATTGCATTAGTAGTAGATCTTAAACACGTGCAGCTGCCAAGCAGATCAGGTCCAATGAAAGAGGAAGAGGCCAAAAAAAGTCAAGTCTCCAAGCCAAAAAATTGAGGCAATGGAAGCTTATGATATCGTGATACCGTGATATTACGATATTGCGACAATGTGCTGTGCGACGATATAAAACAAACTTCAGATGGGTGCAACTCACAAATTCACCGACAGCAAGGTAGATAAAGTACAGAATAAGCTTGACAATTTCATCCATGAAGTCGTCATAGGTCATCGAGGTTCCGGGAGTGAAATAGTCCTGGAAGGTTCCCTGCAAGCTACCAAAGAGCACGGTCATGAGAGGCAGCGCAGCACCCGAAGCAATGGCAGCGAGCGCGGAAACGGCCATGATGGCCAGATCGGGCTTCGAGGAGTAGCGGTACAGGGCGGCGACACCAGCCTTGACGTCGGGAGTGACGACCTGGCGCTTGAGGATTTCGGCTTCATTGGGAGGCAGGTGGGCGTACACGTCGTCGGGGTTGTCTTCCCTCTTCTCGACGAGGCGCGTATCGACCTTTTTCAGATCGAGGTGCTCAGCCGAGGTCTTTTCGCGAGGAGGGGTGGCGGCGACTGGCTTAGAAGCTTCGTCGTTCTGGTTCTTCGAAGGGGGGTTCACATCGGTGGTGGTAGAGCCGTCGCGACTCGAGCGGGAGCCCGAATCGGGTCTGGGTTCGACACCCTTTTCGGGGTCGGTCGCCATGGCGTTTGTAGGCTGCGCGTCCAACTGTTGATTCAGGAAGACAACGCAAACGAACTGCTAGGGGGAGAGAAAAGGAACGAAAGAAAGGAGATGGGCGCGTCAGTTGCGCGCAATGGACTAGCTCGTTGCTACAGTTCCAAGAAGCTTCAGAGTTTGTTGTTGCAGCCGAGTCTCAAGAGACAATTATAGCACAGGCCAAAAGGGTTAGAAGGTGGGTTAGAAGGTGGGGAATGCGAAAGCGAAGAACGTTGGGTTCGTCCCGAATGTAGGCACGGGCGTTCCTCAGAAAAATCAAGGCGTCCGAACGTTTGTCTCTCCTTGCCCGTGGGGTTATGGTCGGAGATAAGAGATGGACGCCAAGCCGGTTGATGGGAGAGGAGACTGGCCACCGCTGCTGGGGATAATACGGGATGATTTAAGGGAAAAAAGAGAGTCGAAGTAGAAAAATGTGAGTTTGATCTCTCACAAGCCGGTCTTTTGAGAGGGAGAGAAATAAATCCTGGCGTCTCAGGACATGGCGAGAAGAGAAGAGGCTAGAATGTTGTCTTTGACAAAAGAGAAAAAGAGGCTAGAAACTTTTTGGCCTGGTCAGGAATACGGGACGGGCAGGAGAAAGAGCTCAATGTCTACTTCGTACACTGCAGGCCCCATTATATATATCGGGCGTTGCTTGATTGTCTTGTTCCGGGGATCAGGATGGGGAAAGAGTTGGTGCGTGTTGAAGTACCGCGCAGACGCAGACGCACGCAGACGCAGCAGATTGCAAGGAAGGTGCCACCGTGCCGACCATCCTGGTCAGGACTCGCTCAGGGTATGAAAGTGCGAAGTAAACGAGGTTTGCGAACGGTACAGTTTTGATTGTAACTTTTTGCCATTGGATTCTGCTAATAATGTTCCGTCTAATTCACGGAAGGAGCAGGTGTGGGAACAGAGATACCTCGGGAGAACAACATTCCGTTGCGGAGCTACCGTATCAAACTCAAGTACATGACGATGTACTCATCATTCCCGACTGTAAGCTTGGTAGCATCTAGTTCTGCAACTTTACATCCCAACTCGCCAGGCGAAAACATTTCCGCTTGTGCATCCACCGGGTTTCACTTTTCCATTTTCTCGTCGGCGTGGGTGTGTGGTCTATACTCCAGGCAGCAATTTTTTTTTCCGCATCTGACCTCATAAGCCTTCATTTTCTGTCGCGACCTGTTGACGAAGTTGTCGCACATCCCATCTCGCGGAGCTTGTCGTAACGCGGGCGGCAAGGGATGAAGCTCACCAGTTATTTCCATCCGAAGCTGGTAAACTACAATATCTCGTGGCCCAGCTCAGGTCAGTCTCGCGAGATGCCTCATACGACCAGTGTCCAAAACTAGTGCCAACCCATCACTCCATTGATCCGTCTTCCTCCTACGAAGTAGTGTATTAGTGTCCCTGCGCTTTCATCAGTGCCGTTCCTTCGTCCTTCGTATCCCTACACTCCCTCCACTACAGACTAACGTTATTGTTTTGCCCCAAGCCCCATTGTAATAACTTCTGGGGGCTAGAATCAAGGGTCTCTCCACAGCATCCCCCAATGGATGGTCCACTGCTGGTTATTTCAAGTTCTCGCCGCATGAACAGCCCCACAGCCTTTGGCGGGTATCAGGAATGACCGAAAGCTAGTAAAGAAGCAACGGGTGGTGAGACTTGCGAAGACTGCAGCAAAGGGCAAGGCAATTGTCTCTTGAGATCAGATATCAGGTTTGCAAGAACGTCAAAAAAGGAAACGCCACGAATCTTAGCAGTATGGAGAAGGTATCAATCGAGTGGTGGGATCGGAGTTCAATACCATCCGAAACCCCGTTGGAGGAAGGTACTTCTATACTTGTGCGACTCCCCCCACCACCCAAAACCCCAAACTCGGATACCTCGTTCCCAGGAAAGCAGTGGAGACTTCAATACTCACGCTGCCTCGTCTCCTATTCCCTTGCTGAAATCAGAGTCCAATTGAGAGTTGGATATTATTGATAATGGACCCGGTTACACCGAATGAATCCATCCAAAGTAAATGATGGAATTTCGGGTTCCTCAATGCAATGTGGACCTGTATGTCGAAATAAACTACTCCATAATAAAAGACAGCATTTCCCCATTTACTTCTCTCTCAACGATTCTGCATCATCATGATTCATCTGTCCTCATACTGTCCCACTCGAATCGGTACCCAAAGCTGTGACCTGTAATTTCGCAAACTTCGCTTGTTCGAATTAGTACGAGAATCCACCATCCGCCCTATCACACTGAGGGTATTAATGTTGTTGCCTTCCATGATTACTATCCCCCAGGACAAGTACACTAAACTACAAAGGAGAGAAGCCAAGCCTCTACCAGCTGCACAAGCTGCATGGAATCGGGTCCGATGTACCGTGCCAATGCGGGTTCATCATAATTGTGGGGGTATTATTGATCAGATCCAGCCGGCTCCGATTCGCCAAAAGTCCATCACAAAGCCTCCCCTGTCCCGTTCCATGGCAATGACGCTAACGAGTGCCACGCTACTGATCCTTCTCATCCAAACTCTCCTTTTCTCCAATTTCTGATTCCGTTGGGTTTTGGCTTGTCTTATGGACCGGAATTCGCAAAACTGAGGGGAAAGGCAGGATAGAGTTCACCCTGTTTTCAAATTACATTTAGTGCCTATTCCCCTCTGTACGACCCTTTTTCCCTGCTGTTACAGTGATAAACTAATTTCGGTGATAAGTTTATATATATATTTTTTTTCCAATTGCGAAACTGGCCGAATACGGTCTAGTGACTCATGTCGGCCAGTCGGATGCTGAAAACTCCGACCTGTCGACTGTCTTTGTCAGCGCCTATTTTTGGGTCTTGGAGCACGCGAGATGCGGGACAGAAAACCCACATCTTGACTTCTCGCTGTTTACGAAGCACGGAGTAGACAGACAGAGTTCGCCTGTGGCCATAGCCAGACCACGCCTCTGTGCTCAGAGAGCTTGACGTATACAATATCAAAATAGAAGAAGAAGAAAAAACTCAACCCTTTGGGGCCCTGGCAACGTGGTCGATCCAGAATAGCAGGGCCACCACACTCCACGCGGTAGCTAGTACAGAACCTTAACTGGCGCACCGAAAAGCTGGATCCCGGCATCGCCAAGGGTCTGGGACAGCACCACAAAAGCAATGACAGGACACTACAATATTTCAAACGGCGCTATATAGTGTACCTTTGTACCATGATTGGCATCTTCTTGAGCCAAGCGAATGCGAAGTTACGTCAATGACGGCGGATCCCGGATGTACGAGATACAAGTATACTCGGATGACGTTTGAGTTAGTCTCCAGGGAAATATCCTGGGCATCCACTTCCAGGGAGGATATCGTACTTCGTATAACCTACAAGTACAACTACATTAGAGGTGTATATCCGTCCAGTCTCGCCCACCCACCGATGACTCGTAAGGACAAGGACAAGTCTCGGAAACAATGCTGATCGGCACAGCTTGCCGGAGTGGTATCCATCTTAACATTTCAGGGAAAGGACTACATACGACGAAGTAGGGGGGTATGCTTGCGTCGAGCCCGTGGCTGCCTTCGCCCTCCCGAAACTAACAGAACATTTTCGGAGCAAAGCTCCAACCTTATCTCCGAAGGAACCCAAAAAAGTCTCCGGAGCCAAGTGTCTTTCTTTTTGGGGCGGTGTTTGACGAATGGGTTGACCTCCGACCGTTTCCACAATCCAAAACTTGCAGCTCCCAGCTCTCTGTACCCCCCGTTCCATGATGACAGCCCTACGGCTCGAACCTCGTTTAACCCTCGCATTCTAAATTTGACGTCCCCGACAGTCTAAACCATTATTATCGCAACCGCAACTTGATGAAAAACGGAAAAAGAAAAACATGACGTCGCCGACCAGGACGCCGAGTAACAGCAGTTGTACCGACGACCAAACCACCTTCACGGAGACATTCCTCCTTGGGGGAACACCGGACCTACCTACACTCCAAGCCCTCCGAGGCCCCGGGCACGAGACCCGGAAGAAGAGAGCCCACCGGAAGAGTCGATGGGGCTGCTCGGCGTGCAAGCGCCGGAAAGTGAAAGTATGTAGAACCAGAACTGCCCGAAAAAGCTCTCGAAACATCTCCGCGGCTTCCGGATGGTCCGGAAACAAGTTATCACGTCCTCAGGCCTTCACCCTCAAAGGCCCTATTTTCCCACTTCCCCCACACGTTCTTACCTGAACTACCCTCGTTTTCCCTGCCAAGACTTCCGTGATACGTTGGGATAGAAAAGTTGATTTCTTTTTGCTTGCTCGTTTTTGTTCGTATTAGTGTGATGAGAAGGCGCCATGCGGCAACTGCGTCAAACGGCGGGAGACGTGCTCGCTTGTCGACACCCAGTTAGCTAACGGTGCGGCTGGTCTTTCCTTAAGCGTGCGTCCAGAACCAAACCCGCTTCTCCCGGGTGTGGATTCTAGGGTGAACCTCCTGCATATGGAGCTGTTCTACCATGCATTTCACGAGACCGTTCCCGGTCTAGTCATGTACGAGGAGATATGGAAAGATCTGTTAAAGGAGTGTTTTAAGGTGAGTTTAAACGAGCTATTCTTGGTGTCTAATTTTATCGTCTAACATGGGACTTCCAAGTTCGAATACCTCATGAACGCCTTGCTGGCCATGGCAGCCCGCCATCTCAGTATCATCAACCCGGACGTGCCACGGTACCATGAGGCAGCTATGGTGCTACTCGCCAAATCCTGCGAGGAATTCCGCAGCGTGCTCGACCTGGAGTTGACGGTAGAGAACAGAGACGCCGCCCTGGGGACCTGCATCCTCATCCATTACCTGTGTTGGTGCGATTTAGGATTCCTCGAGGGTCAGCAACGGAATCTCGACGGCACTTACCGGCGACTAGACCTCTCGCAGGACCGACTGTTCCTACTCTCAGAAGGCGTCCGCCACGTACGATACATGTCCTGGCAGCTCCCAGACCCGTCGGGGAGCATATTTTGGCGCCTTATCCACCAGAGGAAGTGCGTCATGCTCCGCGATAGCCTCGCGGAGAGGGGCATAGAATACGGTCATCTTCGGTCCAGAATTATCGATCTCTACGATGACCCGCGCTTCCACGGCAAAGGCCCCAACCTCTCCTCCCCGACTACGCCAGAAGATGAAGCAGCAGCATCCGCACCATCGTCTCCTTCACCGTCAATACGTGACCTCTGCCAGCAGCAAGGACAGCTCCCCATCTGGGCGCTACCCTGCGCGCACATGTTCTCCGACGCCCACATTCTCTCCATCATCGCGCTCCGGGTGCCTGCCGACGACGACCAGAGCGAGATCGAAAAGGAACTCTACAAGCGGCTTTCGTTCGAGATTGTCGCGGACCGCATCGCGCTCATGATTCACATCACCTTGCTCCAAGAAGCGGAAACATTAGAAGGCGCATCGAAAGTACTAGATTACAGCGACCCACAGCTAAGGGACGAAGTGGAGAGATGTTTCCTGTCGTTCCCTCTGTTGACGTACAGGCCGTTCAACGATCTCATAAGTCAGGGTGATTCGAGGGCGCTCGTGGTACTGTATTTCTTTTATCGGGGAATCAGGACCGTGTCGCTGAAGCTTCGGAATTCATGGTGGGCGGAGGAGAGAGCGGTTGTGATGGAGGGGATTCTAAGACATGAGTTGCAGACGAGGGGAATTTATGATATATTAAGGGAAATGAACCTTGGACCTATGGATTGATGTTTATGAATGGGTGCGCATGTGGTGTTTGGCATATGGATGAAAGGCTGGTTCTTGTGTGTATGATATCCGATTTGATACCACTCATATTTTGTATTAGTTAGACTCTCCGCTACCTGAGGGTTATGGCGTCTGAGAGGGTTGGGACATTGATTTGGAGAAGGGACCAATACCGGTGTTCAGTGTTTCTCCGCTCTGATAGAGAAGTATCACCAATCAATAAAAGTTATGGAGTTGTTTGAAATATTAGCTTAGGAACAGTCTCGCCGGCGGAAATCCGTGTCACGATAATGAAACAGTGGCGAAGACTCAAGGGAGTGCGGAAGGTGGGATGGAAGTACAAGTTACACACAGTGTAATTTTGACATGTTTCACACAGTGAATACTCATCAGGAACAAGAAGAGAACAGAAAGAGGAACAGGAACAGGAACGGGAATAGTCGAGACACCCGCAACAGAGTTCCTCATACATCTCACATCCCAAGCCAGCAATCCATGTTCCATCAGGCCCATACGTTCCTTTCGGATTACCTACCATTAAACTTTACAGCAGTAATGGCAACGAGTGTTCGAGGGGCCGCGGAGGCCCTCGAGGAATTTGACTTTGGCTTGGATCTCATCGATGAATTCGATGCACTGTGAGTCCTGCGACAAAACTGGCCTCAATCCAGCTTGTTAACCAGAGTTGAATAGGCTGGTCAACGTGAAGAATGAAGAGGATGAGTTAACTTCGCTAGGAAAGTACCCAGGTAAGTTCCAATATTCTGTATTTTCTCAGTTTATAAGTCCATGAGCCCTTTTAAATCGCTCTGTGGCGTATCGCGAGTCTTCGGGGACGAGTCATGAGTTCAACACCGATGCATACCCGGGCTGCCCGCCGCTTCACTTCACTCTGTGTTAAATCCCTTGGTTCTTTCTAAATATTGCCTAGCCAAGCTACATGCAAGAAAGGTTGCCGCCGAGCTCTCCTCTGAGCACGAAATCTCCAGCGGTCTCGTCTTTCTTCCCGGCGAACCGTCCACCGTCTACGAGGACTCCGACCAAGCTCCTCCCTTCCGCCAACGCCGATAGTGAGTACCAAAAAGAAAAAGAGAAGAAGAAAACTCAACTCATTCTCACTCTTGTAGTTTCTACTACCTCAGCGGCGCCAACTTCGCTGACTGCGCCATCACCTACGACATCAAAACGGACCACCTAACCCTCTGGATCCCCTATGTCGAACCCCGCCAAGTCCTCTGGTACGGCTTCACCCCGGGCATCGAAGAATGCCGCGCCCGCTATGACGTGGACTCTGTCCGCTACGTCGACCAGATGGAGGACTACATCGCCCAGCGCCTCCTCTACGGCTCCTCCAACACCCTCTACATCCTCCACGCCCACCACGCACCCCGCCTGTCCCCCGAAACTAGCTCCAGGATCTCCATCGACGCCTACCGGCTGAAGCTTTGCATGGATGCTGCGCGCGTCGTAAAGTCGGACTACGAGGTCGCTATGATCCGCCGCGCGAATTCTGTTTCGTCGGCGGCCCATCGGCGGGTCGCGGAGCAGCTGCGCACATTTGCTAATGAGAGAGAGATCGAGGCGGCGTTTCGTTCCGTGTGCGCTTTGAAGGGCGCCAAGAATCAGGCTTACCCCGTCATCGCCGGGTCCGGGAAGAACGCGGCGACGTTGCACTACGGGGAGAACGACGAGGATCTGAAAGATCGGGAGCTCGTCGTCATCGATGCCGGGTGTGAGTGGGATTGCTACGCTAGCGACATCACCCGCACGTTACCAATTTCGGGCCGCTTCTCGAAGGAGGCTAGGGAGATTTACGCCATCGTCGACAAGATGCAGAAGGAGTGCATCTCGGCCGTGCGTCCTGGTGTTTTGTATTATAAGCTTCATCTGCACGCTGCCGCCGTTGCGCTCGTGGGGCTGATGAGGTTGGGCGTTCTCGGTGGCGGCACCGTCGGCGAGATTTGGAACGCCGCTACCGTGACGGCTTTTTTCCCCCATGGGCTGGGTCATCACGTTGGGCTTGAAGTCCATGATGTCCCCGGAAGGGAAAGGCTCCTTCTGTTGGAGGCGGACGATGAAGTCGCCGCAACTACTGCCAAGCCCCGCCGGAAGCTGATGAAGCGCCAGTTCGTCACCCCCGAGATCATGAAGAGCTTTGCTCCTACGGCGACTCCGCCCCCGTACAAAGGCCGCCAGAGACTCGAGAAGAACATGATTGTTACCATCGAGCCCGGAATGTAAATCCCCCCAATCTCTCTATCTTCCTCCCAGACGAACTTACACTAACCAAAACAACAGTTACTTCTGCCGCGAATACATCGAGGGCTACTTCCTCAAAGACCCCACCCACAAGCGCTACATCAACACCGACGTTCTCGAAAAGTATTACAAGGTCGGCGGTGTCCGCATTGAGGACGACATACTCGTCACGGATGACGGCTATGAGAACCTTACTAGTGCTCCCAAGGGAGAGGAACTTCTTCGCATCATCAATGGGGAGGACTAGCGATGTTGGCTTCCAGATTCTTGGCTTTATTTCTTCTTCTTTTTTTCCTCCCTCCCATCCTTTTATCTTCTTGGATCATGGCTTGGGGGACCACTGGAGTTTTTCTTTGACAGCAAGGAGATGCAGCCATATATGAATGAACAAATCAATGACAACAAGTTTTCAACATTGAGGTTCAACCTTCACATTGAAATAGCTTCAACAAATTCTCTCCTGGATCTTATATTTCGCTATGTAACACTTCACTTCGTAATAAAACAACCCCTCCCAAAACGCCGCTTGTAGAAGGAATCATTCATACGAAACAGAACCAGGCTAGACAAGAAAAAGAAAGAAGATGATATAAAAGGAAAAAGAAAAAAAAGAGCTGCCCCTCCTAATCCCGTCTACCAATCTATATGTACTTCTTCACACTATTCCGCTCCTTCCTCTTGTACACAATATACAACCCCGTAACAGCAGCCTGACACAAAACGAAAACGCCCACCAACTTGCCCAAACCCGGATGCGCCGAAACAATGTTATCCTTAACGCTAGCATGATGATCGGCGAGGGTAGACTTGAAGTTGTTTTCCGTAGCGCGCAGCTTATTCGTGAGATCGCCGCGCAGAGCCTTGATGTCGCGCTCGAGGACGGCGATCTTCTTCTGCATCTCGTCCACGGCGTCGAGGCGACGCAGGTCGTTGCGCACGTCGGTGAGGAGCTTGGCGATCTCGGCGTGGCGCTCGTCGCCCTGCTGGGTCTGCTTCGTCAGGGTGCGGTACATGGTGGTGATGTGGCGGCCGAGGCTTTGTACGCGGGCGTTGACGTCGTTGAACTGCGAGCGGGAGATCTGTAGCACATCAAGCTTGTCGCCGGCGCCGTCTAGTGGGTCGTCGGGGATGAGGTCGTCGTCGCCCTCGCTATCGCCCTCGCCGTTGTCGCGCTGGAAGAACTTGGAGGCGTCGCCTTCCTTGTCGCCCTTCTTCTTGCTCTGCTTCTTGGAAGCTGCCTTTTTCGTCTTGGGCTTGCTGGCAGCCGTGTTGCCCATCTTGTCGGACATGACGACCATTTTGAAGATCTCGAACGAGTCGGGGTTGTCGGGGGTGGCCGCGGTGATACCCCACTTATAACCCGCAGGGATCTGGATCCTGCTGCTCTCGAAGCAGAGACGGCCATCGATCTCGACCTTGAAGTTGTCCTGCTCCTGACGCATCTTGATCTGCGAGGGTCGACCGAGGTTACGGTACGAGTAGTAGCACTGTCCGAACACGAGGTTGTCGAGCACGGGCTTCGTCGTGAAGTCGATGCTACCGTCGTTGAGGAACGCGCGAATCATGCCGCCGGTACCGCCGTAGGTGTCGATGACGATGGCGAGGCCCTCGAAGCGCCCGACGGTGTAGACGCTGCTCTGGCCAATGTCACTGGAGCCGCGGTTCGCGAGCCAGATGTTGAGGTTGCCGCCGCCTCTTTCGGGACCGCTGGCGCGGAAGTCGACGTCGGCGACCCAGGTCTCCGAGTTCATGGGGTTGTCGGCCCATATCGCGCTTCGTTGGTTGCCTTGGGCCACGGGTGTGAGGACCAATCTGTTAGAGAGGATCTCGGGGGTGTTGGGTGTGCCCTGGAGGTAGAAGTTGGGAACTTTGCCGTCGTTATTCGGGCTTATCCTATAAGGGAGAAGGGAAGGTCAATTGATGGTCTGGGGAGGTCCGGAAATAGAGCCCAACACTTACCTGCCATCGTAACCGAAACTGAGCTCGTTGATGAGGTACTGGGCCTGAGCAGCACCAGCAGCCAGCAGCAGGGCTGCTAAGGAGGATTTAGATGGGTACATTGTGAGGAAAGGGATGGAGGAAGAAGAGGGGCGATTGAGGTCGGGTTGGTCGCTCGGTTCGATGGGTCTTGAGAGGAAGAAGCTGAGACAAGGTGTGAGGGCTCGACGTCGAAGCTAATTCGGGATGAATAGGAGCAAGGTTATGCCAGGCTGTCTCAGGCAGGGACGAAGGGAAAACGAAGGGACCTTCAAGCTTCCCGCCAGGCAACAAAGTGTAATAGCAGCAAACGAGAGGGACAGGAAAGATCAATGGTGTAAAAAGGAAATATTGAGGCACAAAAAGAAAGAAAAAAAGAAAATAAACTCAGTGGACAGATGGCCGTCGGAAAAAAAAAATGTTCTACCAATATTCGACGTGCACATGCATGAAAAATTCCTGGGTCGAGGTCGCTAAGATGCTCGGGAGCTGTTACAGAATTCGGATGCTTTTGTCCCTGGCTTTTCCACGAGTGACGAGGGAGGGTGAAAGGACACTTTGCACATCTGCAAACGTCAGAGCTGCAGGAATGAACTTTTGGTAGCGGAATTGATGGTGGGGACGCATTTGGAAGGACAGCTTCGGACAGCTGGACCACAGGCCTGGCAGGGGTCACACAGCTGTAGAGCTGCCATTGAGGCCAACCTGCCGAGTCCATCTGATTTTACAGCATTGAAGCACACAGGGTATTTGATGATGATAGCACCACCTGCAAATCGTACGAAGTAAATCGTATCATTCCGGTTGATGCAGAACTTCTGCACTACAGACATTGTTCTGAGAAGACTCTTCAATTCGAGGCCCAAATTTAAAATTGGGGTTCGTCTCTAGTTCGACCAGCCAGTCTGCGGCTGTTTGTCTGAAAGATGGACGAAGCATGGAATACGAAGTACAGTTAACTACTGTATAATAGGGCATTGCATCGTACGAAGTAACGGCGCATGCAAATGGCGTTGAAGTATTTCGCGTAGTGTGCCTACCTCGTCCTGATGTTGAATTGCAGGGCTCTCATGCTGGAGTGTTCAGCGCCCCATGATGCAACATGAACATTGGTGTATGTTTTGTTGTGTGTTCAATCTGATGACTGATCATCGACCCTGATGTCAAGCTCAAACTGTTTTGGACAACTTGATCGGGGATCCGTCCCTATTTCCGCCGCTAGAATTGGGGGAATTTAGTGCGGTTCGCAGTGAGACCCAAGACGCAGCCCTGCGTGTGGAGAAAATGCGGAGAAGACAGCCAGCCGCACGCTGCACTCTGTCCCGTCAGCAAGCCTCTGATCTCATCGAGTCTCCAACCTCGAGGAAAAACCACATCTCGTCTACATCTCGTCCTATTATTTTGTTCTCGAAGAATTTCGAGAGCGGCCGGGTCTTATTCATGGCATTCCCAGCGCGGTTCTTCTTTTCCATCTCAATGAGTCTCGGATCTTGACGCCGAGATTCCGTCCATACCGAGGGCGCTGCCAGTCTAATCTCCGAGCTTGCCCATCCTGCCAGCTGTCCTTCGAGAACAAGCAAAATAGCCGTAAAATGCCTTGCACTTGTCAACTCACTCCACTCATCAAGCCAATTTTGTTGGGCATGACGAATTTGGCAGCTGCACACCTTGGCTGAGGATAAGGGAGATGGCAAGGGAATCAATCAATGGATCGAGTTGTCGGTCAGTCGACCTTGGGCATAATGAGAAATGACTCTGGGTTTTGTAAGAGCCTTGCTGTATTTATTGATTAGGCTTTTCTCTCTGATTTGCATGGTGTGAATGATTCGATGAGTGAACTTGACTGAGACAGTCTTTCTGAGTCCTGGACAAAATAATGCGTGGGAGGGTACGAAGTACATGCGGATTTAAGACCCCTGTCCACATTTGTCCATTGTCTTGATATCCTGCTTACCTCATAGCACCCATCTCTTGTCAATTCAACCCATCAATTCAGCAGAATTTCCACATCTGCATCTCGTCCATCTCCAGCTCCAACGAGCATCCTCACTCAAATCCAAGCTTCTAGAAGCTTGCTCCCTCATCAGATGCCGCCATGAGTGAGCCGTATCCCTCAATTGCCCAGTGCGCCCTCGTGGCAGCCTGTCTCAAGGTCCTCCTGTTTCCAGCATAGTCAGTCCTCATCCGCTCCTCCGTCCCGAGAAGACTCCCTCCCCTCCCCCTCCTATTCTCCAGTCTGTCTTCGCCAACAACGCACCAATGCGCCGGCTAACCCGCTTCCCATTCATCCCTATAGTAAATCGACCGATTTCGAGGTACACAGAAACTGGCTTGCCATAACCCATAGCCTTCCTCTCCGAGAGTGGTACTTCGAACATACGTCAGAATGGACCCTCGACTACCCGCCTTTCTTCGCCTATTTCGAATGGGTCCTCGCCCAGGTCGCAAGGCTTGTCGACATGTCAATGTTGAAGGTCTATAACCTAGAGTACGATAGCTGGCAAACCGTATATTTCCAGCGCTCCTCCGTCATTGTCACCGAGCTCCTGCTCGCTTATGCCCTCCAGCTGTACGAAATCGCCGGCTCTTCCGACACCCCCAGACACGTTGCTCAACTAACCTATTTGCATCTCTATAGCTTCGTCGATTCCGCTACCACTTCGAAGCGCGCTGCCCATGCAGCTGCCATTTCCATCATCCTCTCCCCCGGCCTCCTCATCATCGACCATATCCATTTCCAATACAATGGCTTCTTGTACGGAGTCCTCGTCCTCTCCCTCGTCCTTGCGAGATCCAAATCAACCCTCCTCGCCAGCGGCCTCCTCTTTGCCGGTCTGCTTTGCCTAAAGCACATCTACCTATACCTCGCGCCGGCCTACTTTGTGTTCCTTTTACGTGAATACTGCCTGTCTCCGAGGAACATTTTCAAGATCCGCTTCATGAATTGCCTGAAGCTTGGTGGTGGGATTGTCGCCGTTTTTGCAGCAGCGTTCGGTCCGTTCGCGGCACTCGGACAAATCCCGCAGCTTTTGAGTCGGCTGTTCCCGTTCTCTCGTGGTCTATGCCACGCCTACTGGGCGCCCAATGTGTGGGCGCTGTACTCCTTTGCAGACCGAATCCTTATCTACCGTAAGCCTCCGTTTCCACTGCATCGATACCTGACTGGCAAATGAACAAGACCCTAATTTATGTCTTAGTTGCTCCTCGACTCGGGTTACCCCTAAAGACCGAGGCATTGAGTAGCGCCACGAGAGGCCTGGTTGGCGACACCGCATTCGCCGTGCTACCCGAAATCACCCCCAGGACCTGCTTCATCCTCACCCTCTTCTTCCAGGTCATTCCCCTCCTTAAACTCTTCAAGAAGCCCACCTGGGACACTTTTATCGGGTCGGTGACGCTCTGCGGCTACGCATCCTTCCTCTTCGGATGGCATGTCCACGAGAAAGCCATCCTCCTCGTCATCATCCCCTTCACCCTCATCGCCCTGAAAGACCGACGCCACTTTGGCGCATTTAAGCCCCTCGCCGTCGCAGGCCACGTTTCCCTCTTCCCTCTCCTCTTCACCCCTGCCGAATTCCCCATCAAGACTGTGTACACCATCTTCTGGCTTGTCCTAACTTTGATCGTTTTCGACCGCCTCGCGCCGGCCTCCAGCAAACCCCGCGTCTTCTTCCTCGACCGCTTCAGCACACTATACATCGCCGTGAGCATCCCGCTCATCGCCTACTGCTCGATCTTCCATAGCCTCATCTTCGGGAAGAGCTACGAGTTCCTGCCTCTCATGTTTACGAGCTCTTATTCTGCCGTCGGAGTGGTAGGGAGTTGGTTGGGATTTTTGGTGGTCTATTTCGGGTCGTGAAGAAATGAAGGCGGTTTTGTGGATGTGGGATGTAGATGCGAAAATCTGGCAGAGGCTTGAATGGAAAGGTTGGGTGGGGGATTGATGTTGGTTCAATGCATTATTACTATCAGATACCCAATTTAAATGTTCAATGAGAGTTGTATCTTTGTTGTGTGTTTTCTATCTGTTGTATCTTTGCCACGAGGACATGGAAATGAGTGAGAGGTTTGAACCTCGAGTGTAAAAGAGAGGATCCGCAGATCAGGAAAAAATACAAGAGGAAAAAAAAAAAAAAAAATCCAAACCCTGCGCCTGATAATCCTCCCAGTTAAAAGCCCCGGATAATAGTCCCCTGCACTGCCGGTTCATTAGCTACTGGAAGGCGGAAGGATTGTGGAACGAGTGTATGGGGCCCGAATATCCATTATCCTCCAAAGACGCCGTTCTCCGCAGTCACAGTAGCATGACAGGTCCGAAAGCCAACAAATCCCAGAAGAAAAGAGAGAATTAGACTGTAAGAAGGAATGAAAAAAAAGGAAAATCCCTCGCCTAAGCGGTACCCTGCGAGATCTGCCAGTACGTGTTGTAAGAGTCCGTAGCAAGCTCGAGAGCATCGATATTGTCGGACCCGGCATAGTCACCGGGCTCTCGCTTGGCGTTTACGGCGGGACGGTGTCCCCAGTTATGGTTCCACTGACCCTGGCCTTGTCCCTGGCCTTGACCATGACCGCTACCACCCTTGCCGTGGCCGTCATCCCCGCCGTTGCCACTCTGTTCTTCGAAGAGGTCCAAGGCAGCGTCGGTGATGGTCTTGAGAGCGTAGAGGTAGGATGGGCCGCCTTCTCGGGCGACTCTTAGGACGATGTTTGCGAGGCTGAGGTATTCGTACCAGCCGGCAGGGGTGAAGGGTTTGGTGGATTGGTCGGGGTTGTGCTTGTTGGGGTTATTCTTGTTAGGGTTGTTCTTGCTAGGGTTGGTCTTGTCCGGATTGGCCGCGTCAGGGTCTGTCTTGTCAGGGTTGGTCTTGCCAGGGTCGGTCTTGTCGGGGTTGGTCTTGTCGGGGTTATTCGCGTTGGCATCGGGTGCAGGCTGGCCCTCTACGTCCACGCCGTCGGTGGAGGCAGGCTTATCGGTCTCAACTGGGCTGCTAGGCTTGTCCGCAGTCGTCGACGACGCCCCAGGCTCCTGGCCATCGGCCTGTCCTGCAGCCGGAGGGTCCTTGTTACCCTCCCCTCCGACTACGGCGGGGTTCTGGACGTTTCCCGGGGTGTTACCGGCTTGGTCAGGAAGGATGGTAGGGGCAGGCTTGTCGGTAGTAGTGGTAGTGGTGCTGGTGGTGGATGTGGGAGCAGCAACATCGCCGGCGGCGGGAGAGGGGTTGGCAGCAGGTTCCTGACGCGGGATGTGCAGGGCAGAAGCCGTAGAGACGGCAAGGAGGAAGCCGGTGGTAATGACGGAGTACCTCATCTTGAAGAGATCTTGAAAAAAAAAAAGAGTGTGTAGATAAGTGGTGTGTATAATGTTCGTGTGGGAGCGAAGGTAGTTGGGTGAGGTTGAGGGGGCGAGTTGAGTAAGTGCTTGATGGTTGATGAACGAGATAGAGCCCGAGAGCATGCCAAGATCGAGCCCTTTATACAACTTGTGGTTGATGGAGATCGAGCTGCCTGGCCCTCCGTTTCACCCGCTCTTCCATCTTTCATCCTCCTTCAAGATTCCAAAGATAGGTCCGCTGTAAGGAGGCCATGACGACTAACATCGCCGGGTCCCTCGATCCCGGAGACGAACCGATGGCGATGCCAACCTCTCCACCAGAATCTACTCAAAGCCCAAAGTTTCTCACTCCTCCATGCCAAGATTAGCAACGTGCACATCTCAGACGAAAAGGATTCGTCCTATGAGAATAGACTCTCAACGCAACTGCAGGCTCACCTCCGCCCCCCTCCATTATCAGCAACCTCATCTAACTCAGATACCAAAATAAATCCCACCACCTTTCCTGCATCTCATCCCGCATGTTTCAAAGGGCTGTGTGCCGGGTGCAGGAACAGCCGCGATCAAGCGCCATCCACCCGTCCCCACATCGATCCTACGCGGGCCAAAGTTTCTTTCTTTTGTGTTTTCTTTAAATAAGCCCAGATGGTGCAATCAGGGGCGAAGGTCCGCCCCCAAGGTGGCTCAAAAAAGCTTGCGGTCCTAATTTGGGGGCTGATGTGCGCTGATGGAGGCTCGCCTAACGACTTGGTTGGCCTGCTTCGCCACATGTTGAGAGTGAAAGACCAGTCAAGAGCTGGAATTAGGAGATCTGGTTAATTAACCGGCATCTGACGTACGTCGGATGGATCGATGCTTACAAGGAAGCGGAGAGTTCTTACACCTTGATTCGGATAGATTTTTGTTTTATTTTATTTTTGAAGGAATTCGGGGGCCTGCTTTCGCGTACCATCGCCAATGTTGGTGTTAGTGACTGGATCATCTTCGTCCCAAATTGTCGCTCACATCCTCACGACTCACGTCAGATCCTGCCGACCTTCCGAGGGGGAGGACCAGAATCAGGACTGGAAAGTCGAAGAATAATTATAGAAATTTTGCCAAGTTTCCGCAAGATGAATCTATATGACGATTAATTTTCTCGAAGACTATGCATAAATTACTCGATGGCTCCAATTCTCTTGCACAGCGTGTAAAGTGCTCTTTGTTAGTCAAGTCTTCATCTTGCACCGCCGCAGTGGTGATGCCCCTGGCATTCAACCAGCACTTAAACTTTAATAGCTGTAATAGTATCTGACAAGAACGGAAGCTTCATATCTAGGGAGACAAATAGTCCTGCTTCGAATGGCGAGGATCCTGCTTATTATAACAAGAGCTATGTACTTCGCAGGCGTCTCGCCGCCTCCTCTGTGTTGTCCTTCGCCCACGAATCATCCACATTTTACTGGTAATTGGCAACATCAGCTCGCCCAGGCAAGAAAGGGACTATTATCAGTTCAATCACTTGTGCTCCTTCCTATCGCCACCTCCCAGCAGCCTCGGGAATATTACGTAGGTAAATACTCGAGGACGCACTCTTCGTTGACGTATCGTGTTGGTTGATCAGCTGCCGTGGCGTTATCAGGTTGATGGACAAGAGAACGTCCCGATCTATTGCCTGGGCCCCTCCGTGCTGTGGATCGGAGGTTGCCTTTGATAAATTTTGGAAAAAGAAAATTAAAGTAAATTAAAAAAAAAATCCAGGGTTCGAACTTCTTGCCTGCCGCTCCCTAGTTCTCTATTGTCAGGTTTTAAGAATATCGGATAGCCCTATCACTGCCCAGCCAAAGCGGGAGACGGCGAGCATCAGATGGAGGAGAAAGCTGGGATAAAGGGTGGGGAGGGAGAGATCGGAGCCGAGCTGAAGCATATCGAGTCCACCGTCCACCCAGCCTGACGCTGTGCGACCTCCCTGTATTACGCCAGAGAAGCACTTACAGGAAGCACAAGGACCAGGCTGTATTCCACCTGACAGCACTCTCAAGGCTGTTTCTCAGCTTACCCCTCGCCCCGTTACCCGAAGGTTTCTGTTTTATCATGGCTTTTGTCTATAACGATGGGGAGCCTCAAAACTGTATCGTGTATACCTACTCGCAGCCTGGTCCCCATGACTACATTCCAACACCGCCTTATTCAATTACTCACTCAATGTAGAAGAACCAGGGCTAGAGATAGATGGCTCTAGATGCCAGGCAACCGGGAAGCTTTGCTGTTCTTTTAACCTCGCCACTTCTTTTCGGGCCCGGCAGAAGATCCTAGGCTCGGGCGCTTTCACGTACTAGTTTCCTCAAAGAAGTCATTTTGTCTATCCTTGGAGGCTTAAAATATTATGAAACCTGCCTATCTGCCTCTACCATCAAGAAATTGGCTCTCTTGTTCTGCACATGTCAACTTCGAATTCTCCTTTGACAGAGTCCAATATTGCCAACGGCAAGTCTAGTGGAGATGCTGAAGGGGGCTCTACAACGCCTTCAAGGCTTGGTCACTGCGGTTGGACAGCAGCTCACTACTTCACAAGAGTGCGTCACAATAATGCCGTACCCCTTCGTCCGGGACAACTGTTTTATCATCTCCCAGATATCTCTCAGAACTAATTCGGGGACTACTCAGACCCAACCTCATAACTCTTGGTGCCGATGGGAAGCCGCAAGAGATTCCACCAAGCCGGGAACAGAGTGAGTTCTCTATCCGTATGGAGGACCTCCCTTCAATAGCCCCGCTTGAGCTTTCAGATAGCGACGAATCCAGCCATTCGATAACTGCTAGTGCAGGAGAGCTAGAAGAAGTAGAAGAGATTCCGTCATCGCTATGGGCAACCCAAGACTGCGTCATTTGCACCGAGGAACTTTCAGCCAACTTCGATTTCCCGATCTTGTCCGTGAGCAATGCCTGCAATCACCCTCCCCGGGCATGTACGAGATGCATTCAGAATCAGATCCGGAGTAATATTGATACACGTCGTTGGGATGATGTTCGCTGCCCAGAGTGCAATGCGTTGATGGAATATCACGATGTGCAGCGTCTAGCAGATCCCCGAACATTTGAACGGTTTGGAACATCCATGAGGAAAGCTTCGTTTAGTTTATGCAAACTAATCAGGATTAGTGCTTAGGTACGAGCGGCTCTCACTCCAGGTTTTCATCAGCGAGGACCCGGACATCATCCAATGCATAGCTGGCTGTGGGTATGCACAGTCGCATGCTACGGGAAGCACACAGCCTATCGTCATCTGCGGCAACTGCGGCGCCCGATCTTGTTTCAAACACGGTGTTCCATGGCACGAAGGCCTTGCTTGCGACGAGTACGATGAATACCTACGAGATCCGGTGAAATTCATATCAAGGTCCGAGAGGGAGGAAGAAGATGCGCGGCGTGAAAGAGAAAGGCAAGAATATGAAGACTTTATATTTGCACAGAACTTATCTCAGAAGGAAATTGCGTGGGAGAAGGCCGAACGTGCGAGGACGGAAAGGAGAGAACGCGAGCGCCGCGAAGCCGAGTTGGAAAGGGAAAGGCAAGAAAGGCGCCGAGCCGCCGAGATGAAGGCACAACAAGAGGCCGCGACCTTGGCCACTATCGGGAAGATCTCGAAACCGTGTCCCGGCTGCCGACGGCCCATTCAAAAGAATGAAGGCTGTCAGCATATGACCTGTAAGTATATGCAATTTCTATCCTCGTTCCTTACCAGCCTCGCGCTTCTGTTGTATATTCTTTCTGGCCCATTCCTCTCAGTTGCACACGTATCCCTTTCAGCTCATTGAGATGTTTCTCAGGTTCCCAGTGCCTCCATCAATTTTGCTGGAGCTGCAATTTAGCATGGTCCGCTGGACACAGCACCGCTTGTACTACACTACCGTGGGTTCTTGTTACCTCGCTAGTTGCATCGCAAGGAAAAACGCAAGAAGAAATCTCTCTAACTGTTGCACATATAGGCATCAAGTGTGATCATCAATTTTGTTGGGATTGTCGTCATGATATGAGGGTTATTCTTAAAAAGGGGAATCAGTTCCATAGTCGCCGGTGCCCTTGGCACTCGGATAATATCATGTCTGGGGCGATTCAGACTTAATATGCCTGAGTCTTTGGTCTGCAAAATTTCAAAATTTCTCAAGTGCCGAAAGCACTTCCTAGAAAGCCTCAAGACTCGGCTTGCCGGCCACTTTCGTCAATGCGCGAAACTGCCGAGGCGGAGGCCGCTCGAGTTCAATGGGTATATATGGCCGGGTGGTTGGCCCCACACTCCGGACCTGCTCCACATCCCCGGTTAAATCGGGGTCACTCACGCTAGGCACGCCGGTCTTGGCCGCTCCGCAGTTGCACACGCAGGACGTAGTAGTAACGACTCGTCAACAGGTTATTGGGAAACATTGAGGGAATAAATTTGCTATTATACCACTTAGCCCGTCTTGTCATCGTGACGAACAACGCCTGAATATCCAGACAGCTGCACTTGCGCGATTTCCACCTTCCGAACCGTCAAGTCTTTTTAAGAGTAATATTCACCGGGTATCGGTGATTGGACGTCTTCTTCTGAAAATCCGCAATGGCTACTCCAGCGGCTGCCGTCCCCTGGTACCCTCATCACGCCCCACATAATAGGAGCAAGTGATAGGTTCGGTCAAGCCGCACCATGAGTGTCATGGCACGCTGCCGCAATAGCAAAGCTACAGCTCCCTACGATAGGGATGGCACTTGGCAGTTTGAATCGCGCCACAACTGCGACGGCAAGGACCATCATGAACGAGCCTAGCAGGACCAAAAGTATAGCCAACGGGGAGTATCCGCATTTGACAAGAAACCAATCCTGACTGAAATCTTCATCCTGTAGCTTCTCTATTGCAACAACGAATATGCTCTGGGATATGAGCCAGTGTATTGCGATCGAAGCAACAATAAGAGGGATGCTAAATGCGTATGGAAGCTGTAAAAAGTACCGTGTCCGTTGTGCACCCCCGGGGGCTGGACGAGACGCGGACTGGCTTTCGCCGAACGCCGAATTCGCTCCACTCCTTGGCGGCCAGCATACAAGTGAAAATGGCATTGTATTGGAAGTACAGAATCGAAAAGATAAGTTGCGGGAGGTTGGCAAGAAATATGCAGAACAGGTTGTTGATACCGATGGAGGCGGGGAGCTCGATGTCATTGATGAGGGCTGTTTCGGAAACGACACCCATGCCCAAGGACCAAAGACTCTTTGCGTCGCGTGGACCGGTGATGGAATAGATGCCCATTCCCATGAAAGTGAGAGAGGCGACGAGAGCCACCATGTACCTTCAGAGGGGCTTTAGTAAAGACTTACCAGGCGCTTATGAGACAGGATTGTGTCGAAAGGGATTCACTTACAAGACTATGGTAGAAACCCAGCGTCTTCGACTGACGGCGGCGCCCCAGCGCTTTCGGAGCATGGAATACTGCCGAGACCCCCTCCAGGGCCTCCAAGTCCTCGAGAGCCTCACGTCGTTTCCTGACGCCAAACAACTTCCCGTGGAAAACGGATCTGGTTTAGTAGTGAAGCTCTGTAGAGCGTCGCCAAGAACGAGCAACGGCTCGTCGGGGGGCCAGAAGGCTGTATATGCGAGTGCTGATGCCTTGATAGCATTGCATACCAATACCACTATGGCGATATAGATGTTGAAGTTGACCCTGCAAAGCTGCGTCGGGGGTTCGCTCAGGCAATATTTGACGCGGTGACCGAACGGTCGCCAGTCATCGGCTCGCTCCCTAATCCCAGACACCAAGTTGCGGCATGTCTGGGTGCAGAAATCGTAATCCGACAAGTTGGGGCAAATCCAGTCGTAGACGTCTGGCGGGCATCCACCAGACCATCTCGTTATAAGGCTACGGTCACGCTGCTCAAATAAAAGTGGTTCACTGTCCTCGTGCTGCTCTCGCTCGGAGACAAGTATCACATCCCTCCTCACCCGCTGGAATGCCGTGGCATATTCGTCAATACAAGCTACATTTGTCAAAATTCTCGACTCCACTCCTCGTGATGATATTTAGGGCCGCCCGTTGCCGTGGGGGGAGGGCTACGTAGCCTCCGGGTTGTTCAAACCGATCGTCGACATTATAAACTGTATAGTCGAGAACCGAAATTGACGAGAAGACGACCGAATTAAATCTGAGGCAAAAAACGGTTAGGTCTTAGTCGAAATGGGCCGCTATTGAGGGCATGCAACTGACAGGAGATGAAGGGGAACAGATGAGAGGACCAGTAGCAGCCACAACACACGCCGCCTCACAGGTACCGCCGATAGATTTCGTATACTCGGAATGCCGATATCCAACCACCGGCCTTTCATATGGGCTTCGTTCACTTCGCTCCTCGTCGGCGCCGACAGGCACTGCATGCCATAGTTGCTCGCTGCAAGAAGCACTGAGCTTAGGATGTTGACGACAAGATGGAGCACGATTCCCAAGTTGTGAGATGTCGTGCAAGATCCCTCAAAGATGATTCTCCTCCCGGTGTCCTCGTCTTCATTACCTTCCGGTAACGTGGACGACCAGATCGTGACAGCTGTGTTGGTGATGAGAACGACGAGGGATGTACAGGCACCGGCGCAGAGGCTGAATCTCCAGCCGGAACGAACGCCACTATTATGGGGAGTTCTCTGTCGCCCTTCTGGAAGTTCATGCTCGTACGCCGTTCCCATCCTACGCGAATTATGGCTAGATCCAGGCTTGACGAGCTTGAAAGCACGTCTCCATCAAACTCACATCCTCCACGGATAGAGGTCCTAATTATATACAATATCAAGACAGCATGAAGAACTATAACTCTGCCCCCCAAGCGAAACCGCCTTAACGGGACCGGGCTGGCACTATTGACAAGGTGCGTGCGGCTGAACCTGCTACCACGGGCCGCAGTGTATATTCGTGGATTTAGATAGGGCGATGCTAGGATATTTGGGCAGACCCAACGCTTCCTCTCCTTGGCAAAGGGGCGCAACCAGTGCACCTTCATAAAGCAGTGCTCCTATTTGGCCAAACTTCAAGACGGAAATAGACTTATTCCAGCGTCTCTTTGAACGGGTTCAGGAATTACTAGTAGCGAGTAACTATGAAGAAGACTTAAATTATTAGGGGTAGCGAGTAAAGTTGTCGCTATCGTCTGTATTTTACTGGAACGACTTCCTTCATAAGACACCCCTCGGCACTTCTTGAAGCCAATCGGGCCCGATCCTGCCTACACCCGTGGAACGACGGCTCCTTCCATATCGGTATTTGTCCGCTGTTTGCCCTCCTCTATTGAGTCCAACTTTAAGCGATCAAGGCCATTAGAGAATTGCAGAGCAGATCAATATCGCGACTAAACCATGCGTCTAATTCGGTCTCGGAGCTTTCCTATTCAACGCCAATTGTGTGCTCAATACATTTAGGGGGGAGTCTACATCCGCCAAACGTTACGAGACTTATACGGCAATCTCGCCCAATTTCGCTACCACTTTCTCTATATAGCTAACCCCGACTGCTACTCCATCCCCATCCTGGAACTCTTCCTCATTCCCAAAGTCCTCGTTGCCCTCATCGAGGCACGTAAAACACGTTTCCACCACCTTTCCATACTTGGTGCCCATCCGACGCCTGAGCTTGCCCCTCGCCCCCGAGAATCCGCAGCAAGTTCCCTCTAACCCTGGGCGACGTCGGAGTGCAAGGATCCGGGCCGGTCACGGCCCCACTTCGACCCCACAATGTTCCGGTACCCCGACCTCGTCCAGGGCACGAAGCTGGAGATGTACTTTACCAAGAAACTACACCGTTCACAACTGCAATGACACCGATGATGGGGCCGGCGGCGGCCCGTTCGGAGGTCTGGATATTGGGTGTCTGGAAGGCCCTAGCGGGGGGCAGCTTCGGGAAGGTTTACCTCCAGAATTGTGTGGAAGGCAACCGCAAGATAGAGCAGCGTGCTGTCAAGAGGATTTCCAAGCATAAGTCGGTTGCGAAGAATATCGATTACGTGGCCGAGCTAGAGGCTATGGCAAAGTTTTCTCAGAGGAGGGTACGTTCTTGTTGCTTTAATAGCTCCCCCAAATCACGTCTTCTATGGCCGGCGGAATGCTAATCAGATTTTCTTATTTTTTTTTAAAAAGGAAAAAGGCCTGACCTATGACTTCATTAAAGGCAACTAGGAGTTCATCCTCGATTTCATCTTTGATAAGATGGAGGAATCTCGTCAGCAACGGGAGTGCTAACGGACGGACACCCGGGCCCGGGCCTCGTCGCCGTGGAGCTTTCGCAGAGGAGGTCTGATACCTCAAGTTGGTGCTAGCTTGTTTTCAACTCCGGACGAGAAGTGCCTCCTCCACGACCACCATTAAAACGGCAAGGGAGGGCTGTATAATGGTATTCATCTTCCTTCTCCTCTAGTAATAGTCTTTAAGTTTAGAGTATCAAACGTCGGCAAATTTCCTGTACTCGTTTGATATCGTCTCTAATGTGTCTGTCACAGCGTGGACAGCTACGTCCATTCCGGCAACACATAGGATCCCGAGTTGCAGATATGGGATGGAGGAAACAGAAAAGAGAATATCCGGTTCTAATGACAGTTCACTATTCAGCTGGTCTAGAGCTTCGGTTCTACAAACAGAATGGGGCGAGTCGCTGGCCAGCAAACAGCAATTAATCAACCACCACATCTCCATATAAACATCTTGATGGCAGCTCTCTCAACCCGCCGCCGCCACACAACGTGAAACTAGATGAGATGATGTTCCCGGAAGTGGATGAACTTTTCGGTGATAGTCTGGCACTGAAGGTCCATCTGATAGACGGTTCCGTCACCATCAAAATTCACCAAACTGCCCGCGGCCTCGTCAAACTCGTAAAACCGAACAAGCTTCCCAATTGCAACAGCTCCAAACTTCCGATTGTCTGATGTTATGCCCCCGAGGTACTCTCTCAGGTTTTCTGCAGCCTCGTGCCACACTGACGATTGTCTCTCCAGGCCTGGGGCTTTGCACTGGATGACAAAAAATATCTTCTCCTCATATTCGCCATGCCTGGTATCGAGGACCACGTGCGTTGTGATAAGGTTTGCCTTGCCATTCTCAACAGTCCAATGGATGGTATAACCATCGGGACGGCAGAAAGTCTCGAGCAAACTCGTACTCCATACTCGGGCTGTCTCTGCTTCGGTTTCGCCGGGGACAAGGCAATTCTCAATCAGCCATTCGACCACGTAGAGTCCCATATACTGTGATTTCATATTAGCTGCCATGCAAAAGATTCCGGCAGAGTGATCGAGGGATCAGGGAAAGGGGCCTGGGGTTCTCTTTCATATCGTCACGGGTATTGGAAGGAAATGAGAAAGACTGGAAACTTGTTGCCTTACAGTGCCAGCCTTCTCCTGTTGCTCGGGCGGTTGTTCTGACATTGCAAGTTTGAAGGATTCCCTTCTCGATCTGAAGATAGACGAATAGTTGAAAGGCTTAACATCGACCGAAGACGAAACGCCTAATGATCTAACGTAGATAACATAGGCTAAGGGGATGATGTTGAACTCGGAGTCGGGTCACACTGGGCCTGGGATCAAATGATTGATGGTCATCTCGCCTGGCGGAGAGTACGAAGTATGTCTGTCTGATTTATTTTTGGGGGGCCCCATTCCCGATCAAAGCCACATTTCAACATTCCAAAGCGACAAGATCAATGCGCTTTAGAAGGAACCAACATCATAAGAACAGACATTTAGATACAGGCCGGCGGGTGTCCGATAATACCAATGTCTAGCCGCCAGCCCATGGTGGCATTCCAGTCGGCGTGGGCCGTGGTGACCCGTCAATTGCGACCATAATTAGAATAAATTAAGCACAAGCGTTAACAGTGCAAAACTAATGATCCGCTGGACGATTGAAATCATAACATCAAATGTGCCTGACGAAAGAAATTTGGCACGAGCCTCGTCGACTTTGGCATATAAAGTCACAAGCTCTCAAGAATCTCATCGTCGTTGCTAACCTCTTAGAATCGTATCATGTTCTCTAGACCGTCGGGCTGACTCCCACGATACAGGAAGCGAAGGGCGAAGAGAGGTGTCTGCCTCGCCAATGCTGGAACCGGTGCGGTGACAACCTCCAATACATTGACTCATTCCTTGCTTTAGAGTGAGCTTGAATAATCAGAAGCGTTTGCGGAGTGCGGGAGAGAATCGCAGAGCTGGTGAATTATGAATCATGCTCCGGAGGAGACTGATAGTTGGCGATGGAGAAGGAGATGGAAAGAGAGAAGGAAATGGCCGGGCTGCCAAGGACACATCCATGCCTGCCGCAAAGCGAGGCGAAGCAAGGATATGATCGAAACTGACCATTTCGCGATCGGCGACTCGAGTCCGAGCCCAAGAAAGCTGTGATGCTTGCTCCCCTTGTTGCCGCTGCAGCCGCTTGGGGACTCACTTCGTCAACGTCATTGGAGGCCGCTACGGCCTTAAGAGAAGCACCCATGGCAGAAAGGATGAGAATGCAGGAAGATCTCTCGACATTCCCATGACTGATTGGCTGCGCCTCCTCTTCGTTGCTTCCCACCCGCCCTGTTTTTTCTCGTCGGGGTTCGAGAAAGTGTATTAAGGTAGTTTAAAATACCGACCCGAGCCCTTATTTTACTAGGCACATCCTTGATTTGGATGTTGGTCCCGTCGTACAACGATGACGACTTTCAACTCTCCGATGCCTTAGCGGATGGCGATATTCCCAAATCAGAGTGCAACAGCCAGCGTTGCAAATCGAGACTCGGGCCCATCCGCCTGTGATCCACTCTCTGACGCTCTCTGACGGCCTCTACCGGCTCAATTGAGCCAGCGGCCTCCAAACAAAATCAAAAGAAATTATTACTATTTAATACGTTGGGTCCGCCGACCTCTCCCGAATAATGGACGACCTGGAACGACAATCCCCACCATCTGCACCTCCAATCGCACAAATGTCCCTCGCCCAAGACTCCGAGAAAAAAGTCCCCTTGCCATCGGAGGAAGAACTCTCCGCCAGCATCGACCCGGCCACCATCCCCGAACCACTCTGCACGAGCAAAGTCCTACAACGCTTCAAGGTCGTGCGCCAGCGCAACCGGCTCATTGCCGCAACGAAGCTCCGAGACCCCGGTGCTGAAGATCACCGGCGCCACACCGAAACGCTCAAAAGATTACGGAAGTGGAAGGCCGTTGAAGATGGCGGCCTCTGGGCGAAGGCGAGAGCGGTGGTGAATGTGAAGGAGCGGGGTGCGCCGAAGAGGCCGGGCGACGAGGAATTGATGGGGCTCGTGTTGCATCATTTCCCGACGCCCGGAGATGTCACGGTGAGGGTTGTCGACTTTTACGGAGATCATTCCAGGCGGTATGATGTGCCGATGAGGGCGCTTATTAGTGAATGTGAGTGAGAGGGGAAAGAATGAGATATGGGTGTGAATGACATGAAGCTGACCGAATTTTATGCAGATATTCATGAGAAGCCTGAGGGCGTGAACGTTCGATGGATGTGAGATTATTTTGATGGCCCTGTGAGATGCGTCGTCGCATTCAACGATCACCCACTGACATGTCAAAAGTTATGCACCAATTGGCCAAGGCCTCATCTGGTCGGTAAGTTACACGGATCAAATTCGTATCTGCCAATTCCCACCCCTCTAACTCTCATCATAGTGCCTCCAAGACCTCTTCCTCAACGCCGGAAAAGGTCGCAAGGTCACCGCCCTAGGCCAAGGCGGCAAGGCTTGGCCCTACCTCTCCGTCGAGGCCCTCAGTTTCCGCGCCCGCGAGGACTACCAACAGTTGCGCGACATCTACGGAATCCTCAGCGACGACACCGCTTCCTCCAACGAGCCACTGCGTCAATTACTCAATGATGCCGCACAGAAGGCGATGGGCGTACCACTCGCCGAGGACCTGCGGTGGCGTAGCGAGCACCTAGGGATGCGGAGCGAGTTCTGGGATCTCGTGTTTAGCAGGGTACCGTATCACCTCACGCAGATGAGTACGCAGGAGACGACAGGTGGCCCGCCCGACATCGTCAACCCGAATAATGCCGGCCACATCTATCAGACGCTCTGGGGCCACCCTTCATATAGGAATGCGCAACTTGTGCGGACGATGGTGAGGAACTACCATCGACCTGACGGCATGCTGCTCACGATGGGACCCCCTTGCGGTGTTGATTACCTCGACAAGGACTTCAACACCTATCTCGGGCACTCTAAGAGCAGACGAGAGGAAAATGAGGAGGCGTCCGTGTATGCGTTCCTGTATAAGCGCTTCGAGAAGTCTGGCACGACGGACTGGCCCGAGAAGACGGTCGAGTGGTTCCTCATCTACCTTATTACCGAGATTGCTGCCGCGCCGCATAATATTCGCCAAGGCAGGTCGTTGACTCGTCTGACCGTTGCGTACAAGCAAGTTGTCGAGAAACTGGTAAGAGAGACGTGGTGATTGCGGCACGCATATTGAATAACAACACCGAGAGCCATCAACTAACGAAGTATACATTAGAAACTCCGCCGATACGACCGCTTCAGGAGATCCGAGTCCATTGGTCTCGTGCGAGACTTCCTCACCTGTCAGGACGAGCTGACCTGTATCTGCAACGTCCTTCGCGGTAGACTCTCTATGCTCGAGACTCTCAAGCTCTCCATTGACCAGCGCGAAGCCGAAATGGCCCGGGATGGCGCTGTCGACGTGGACATACCTCCGACGACTCCTTCGCATGAGACGATGTGTGACTCTGCCAAAGAGAGGGTCAACTGGGCTATTTCGCTCGTCAAGGAACCTCTCACTGTCTGCGAGGCGTTGCTCGTCGACCTCCGCCTGTCAACCGAAGCGGTAAGCGGAACTTCTCTCCCCCTCGTACTGCCCAAATTTCCTCTCTGGGAGACAAAAATAATACTAACTCGGTCAAACCTCTAGCTCTTCCAACTCAAATCCATCGAGCAAAACGAACTCGCCATCGTGGCTGACAGCCAGAACAAGGCCATCCTCGTTTTCACCGCCGTCACAGTCATCTTCCTGCCGCTCTCGTTCTTCACGAGCTACTTCGGCATGAACCTCGAGGGCATGACCGACCTTACGCGCAACGAGAAGTGGTTCTGGCAGGTGTGTGGCGTCTTGGCCTTTGTCATCATCTTCTTCACGACGACTTGGGCGTTTAGGGAGGAGATTCGGACGAGGCTGTTTGGTAAGCGTATGCCTGTTTCGCCGCACGGGACTGTCATGTAAGGTTTGCAGAGTCGAATTTTATGTTCTTTTCTTCCCAATTTTCCCTTAGCCATGAGAGTCCAGCCCCCTCGCTTGGGTAGCACTAATACGCGATGGCGCTGTTTAACTATACAACACTCCATCGCGACCATTATTAAGGCGGCAGGCCAAGGCTGTGTAAAGGGCTCTGCCTTTCTTCTTCTTCTCCTGCAGTCGTTTATGGATGATTAATTTGCCCGGTGGCTTTAAGTTCGTTGTGCTGAGCGTCTGGAGACTTCTGGTACTTTGTTAGATATTGTCTCCACCAGTCTGTCGGTCCCCGATTACAGGTGTGGAATGGGGGAAAAAGAAAAATACTGAGAAAATCCCAAGAATATTAGTATTCCGTTGTTCATCTGATCTAGAGCTTGGGTTCTACCAGCAGAACGGGCCAAGACGCTGACGAGGAAACAGCAATTAATTAACCCTCTATACCTCTCTCAAGAAAACATCTGGAGATCTACTCCTTCCATACATCTAAAACTGAGCGGGGAGATGGTGACTCTGGAAATATAAAAGCTTGGCAGTGACCGACTGGCACTGGCGGTCGAGCCTATAGACATTCCCGTCACCCTTGCAATCCACCGAATACTCGTCATCCACCAATTCGTAAAACCGGACATACTTTCGGACAGATATAGCTCCAAACTTCCGATTTGGCGATGCGATAGCCATGAGGTATCCGTGGAGCTGTTTTGCAGCCGTTTCCCAGACTTCGTCTTGTCCCTCCTGATTAGGGGGTTTGCACTCGACAATAAGAAATTTCATCTCCTTGTGCCTAGTTCTGACGACCACATGGGCGGTGAACAAGTCCGCCCGACCATCGCCGAATGTCATCTCAGAGCCAGTGGAGTAGCCATTGGCACGCTTGAATATGTCCGTCAAAATCATGATCCAAACTCGGTTCGTTTGGGCTTCGGATTGGCCCGCGACAAGGCGATTCTGAATCAGCCATTCGAACTCTGGGTCTTCCATATACTGTGATATCACGATTAGCCGTAGCCCAAATGCCCCAGTGGAGGATCGGGAGCCTGGTGGGCTGGCCTGGTATGGCAGCTGGGTTGCTTGTGCACTGGCAAAGACAACAGATCCTTCACGTTGTTGCGGAGAAAGGGATGTCTAGGAAAGTTGTTGCTTACAGTACCGACTTTCTCTTCCTGTTGGGGCAGTCGAAATGCCATGGTAAGTTTGGCGGATTCTCAATCTTGAGATAGACGAGTTCGAAGGCTGAAAACGACGGAGGACGAGATTCGCCGTAACGATCGAATGCAAGCAGCATAAGGAGGTAGGATGATAACTGGCTTGAGGTAGGAGGTGCGGTTATGGGCTTGAGGGACAGTGGTGATGGGCTTGAAGATACTCCGTTGAGGTCATCGTTTCCGGGGAGAATGCGTATCTTATATTGCTCATCTTTTTCTATTTCACTCCTCATCTAGCATCACCTGGAACCCCTCCGGTGATAGGGTGTGTTTTGGAAAAGAACTAACATCAAAGCCTTGCTAAGAATGACACCCTGGTCCTTGATGGGATACGGGACGCCATGCTCTCCTTGTCATGGAAATAGAGCCTACGATTATGATGTCTGGTAGTTGCCAGATACCAAGTCTGACGCAAGGTGAGCTCTTCCAAGTCTTAGGCCGGCCCGCACATGAAACGGCGATAAGTGCTTTGTCCTAAAGAACATGTTTATCCTTTGTTGTATTATACAGTAGACCACGTCGCTGGACTAAGCTACTACGAGCATTCATCAACATCTGTATTTTGTAGGTTTTGCTGGCTTAGAACGGAAAGAATGTGGACAAGGAATCGCCCCTCCTCCCTTTGTCGTTGGCGTGCCGGTGCAGGCCTATGCGCGCGCGGGTTGAAGTTGTCAAAGGGAATACCCCGCAAGGGTCCTCTTAGTCTCGCCATGTTGTTTTGGCTCCCCACCAAGCTGAGAGTGTGTGCTCTCTGAAAGCTTCCCGCCGTTCGGGTCGGCGTTTCTAGGATTGAGAATGGGCTTGGCCACCTCATGCAACTGAGGTTGTGGGGTTGGGGTACCCTTCGGACAGGTAGGTCTCATCACAATCTTCCATATATTCCATGAATTAGGTGAGCTTGCACCTTGATACTCCACACTCTGACGCAGGCGCTGAAGATGGAGCTGTGCTCCACAGAGCTGATATAAATACCGGTGTGAGCTGGCGACCACCTAGTTAACCCGCAAAGACCACCAGGCACTTGAGCTTCAGTGTTTTATGATCAACTCCTCGCATTGCACAAAATTGGTAGCAACAGGTTCATCTACAGAGATAGGGCGTTGGAACATGATATTCGTCGAACGTACATTCTGGGGACCAACCACCAAATCCCGTGTGACGTGTGCTTTATTTAAGCTCCACTGAGTATACTTCCTATTATAATATACTGCTATTCTTTCCAGCCATCACACCAATTTCATGGCGTTTACTCAGTTGCAGAAGCAATAGACACTAAGCCTAGGTCGGAGATGCCTCTGTGGCTGCCCTGTAATGATGCACTCGTCAGAAAAGAAGCCGCGTAGATGTTAGCCACATTCGAATTTGAACTCACCATCCTCGCCCAGAAACCGACAACAGTCTCACACATATCAGTGCGGATGGAACTCATCTCCGTCACGCGAGATAGTAACTCGTCGGGAATTGTAAAGAGGAAGTCGGCAGTGCGATTTCGATTTGTGTAAATCTGGAAGAATGGCATCGTGTGTTAAAGCATGTTTCATTTACAAAAGGCAACAAGGGAGCAGCCCAGGCAAACCTTAAACCCCAGTAGGCTTCCATATGCATGGAACTTGTCAAGGCTGGTGATGCGTTCTCCTCCAGGGCCATCTATGGTGAAGTCATGGCTAGGCGCGGTCTCAGCGCCTTGCAGGCCTAGTTCAGCTGCTGTCTCCCTGTTCCTGAAGTTCACGGCGATCGACAGAGTGTCGAGACAGTCTCCAAATTCACGTGTTCGGACGGCGATGTTAGTGACATCAGAGGTGCTCTCACCGCTGAGGCCGCCGAAAATTTCAAAAGAAAAAGGAACCTCTTCGGGTGGGGGTGGTTTAGAAATGCGTTTTTCTGGAACTCCGAGGAAAGAAAGAGCCGGATGTGGTATATCGGGATACCAGAGGGCCGTATCCCGGAGGCTCACCTGAGCGTCTGTGTCCCCTAGAGGCCCCTCGCGTTCTGAATTCACGGCGAGCGAGACAAGTTTTAAGGCCTGATGTCGTCGGGTTAGTTCGCGAAGACATTAGGAATGGCGTCCTCTCAGAGACATCGCCTGCAAAAGAAGAGGGGGAGGCGGCCGATCAAAATCACTCACATCAAAACCACCTTTCAAACGATCGATTACATCAAACCCTCCAGGCGTAGGGAGAAGCTTCCTTTTGGGAATATCTTGATAGTCTCCGATCCAATCAGACTGTGTCCCGGTATCATCAATCACGGCAAGCCCGCGTACTCCACGTTGGTCGTGAGCTAGGCAAAAGCCTGTGATTCGAACCGGACCATTCTCTCGGGAGACGAGGAGCTTTTCTGAATTCGAGTGCCTATATCCAAGCGAAAAAGATTCATCGCTGATGTTTAGGATTCTTAGCCCAGAAATATAGCGCCGCCCAAAGAGCTCAATCGTCGATACAAAGATTGCGGTTGCCCGAGAGGGAAACATCATCATTCTCTCGTAAAGGACTCTTGAACCTCGATTGAAGTGCTGGTTCGGAGACTTAAGATATTTGCTAGCGGTTACCCAATATCTATTGTCCAGCGGTAGAGCGTTTAGCTCGAGGAGAGACTGAGCAGGTGTTCCATCACAATTAGTATCCCTCATTAGCTCCAGCAGCCCGTGGAGAGATAAACACAGATCCCAAACCCGTGTCCTATTTGCCACAGCTGGGTGGCAGCGTTTCAGAACTTCTAGTATGCTGAAAATCGATCCCCAGCGTCCCTTGTGTGCATGTGATGAGAAGTACTGTCTGGCTTCGACTATATAGTCGAGCTCTCGTCCGGGAACGAAACGAGACTTCCAAAACGAGTCTGGCAAAACAATGTTGGCGAAGACGCGAGACGCTTGCTTCATACGAACTACATCGCCGGAAGGAAGGTAGGTGAGAATGCATGACAGTATCTCGGTTGGGAACTGGTCAAAAGGGTCTGCCTCTGCCGTGTTAGCAGTCTGGACACGTTGCTTGGTAGAATCGAAAGCCAAGTGAGGATAATCGGTAGGGCTCTGGAATATCCGACGCAGCTCTGGAATATTGAAGGGATCAGGGCCTTGGAATGCACTCGGGTCTGGAAGGTAAGGTTCCTCGCCGGGTGCAAGCACCGTTTTATACTCGACCAATCCGCCGTAGTCATGCCCCCAATTGATAGCGCATGGTTGGATAGGGAAGGACAGGCAGAGGTTAAACAGTGCTTGGATGTTTAATGGATCTCCTGGGGAGCAGAGTGATAGTAGGTCCCAGCATGCATGATGAAATGGGAACCCCCATACGGTTGGTGGAGCAATGCCTGGAATCTGAACAGGGCTGAAGGTAGAGAGCATTAGATTAATTTGAAGAGAGGCGTTCTCATCGACAGCATGGACAAAATGGCCATTCCAATATATTCGCCCAGGGCCAGACAGGGAAGCCTGGGTGCTATCTTGGTTGGCGAAGACTGGACACGAGTGAGATTCTTCAACCGTCTTGGAGATTTCAAGGGGCTACAAACTTGCATAGAACCGAGACGTCCATGTTGGCCGGACAGATTGATCGGTAATTTTCTCCCCACATAGGCCGCAGCATACGTTTGTATCGGGCATGGTGGCGGATTGTGATCAAGGTTCACAAGATGTCCGTTTTTCGTCTTGAGCTTGGGCTCGTTGATGTGGATATTTACTTGGTTCTTACCCCCAACTCGGTGAAGGAGATATTCTCAAGTCAACCCTTCCAGTCTGAGGGCACTGCTTTTCTTTTATAGCTTAGCTGTGGGTTTCTACGTTGTTGGCTCTCGAGCGTTGTTGTGTCGCCTCGTGCCTGCCCAGTTCGCTGCAGCCCTAGGTACCAAGTTCGCTCTGGAATGAGGAAAGGTCGACCAGCGACAGCAGCCATTCTTAGCACAAAGCCTTCATTATCTTGAAGCAGTTGGAAAATGGAGACCTGAACTCTGAAAGCCTTCAATGTTCCTTCGCCTGGCGCCTGGCCAGTTCACAGCACCTCGGAGGTCGCCCTGGAATGGAGGCAAATCATTGACCAGCGATGGCGGCTATTTGCTATTTTTAGCAACGACCTTTCTTTGCAACAGCAGACAGTGAAAAATGGCAACAGAGAACTTCAATTGGACTGAAAGACTTTAATGGTCTTAGTCAGTAAATTCCTAGGTGCCTCAGGCAACATTGATGACTAAGACCTACCTGAGAACCTCGCCCATTAAAACACTGCCCTCGTCGGGACGGAAGGGTGATGAGATTTGTTGACAGGGCATGCTGGATACTTTCAAGATCACATTTGCCTCCATACCTAACGCGACGCTCCACTTTGGGCGTACGATTTCCATTTATCTGCCTGTTCCTGACTGTTGCTTTCGTACTTACGGCCACTTGAAGATATCGGCCCGGAGCTTGTCCGGACATCATCCGCCGCTCGCCGGGGTCCGCGAATACGATGGGTTCAACTCCTGGGCCGCCTAGCTTCGAGTTTATTAGAATTAATAGGATGATATAGATAGTACCGGGCTCTTCCCGGGTTTCTTAACTTGGGCTGTCCTCCTCAGATGCTCCCTCGGCCTGGTCTTGAGTATACTTCTTGCTCGGAAGATGTTCTGGGTTGATACGCTAAATTTCAGAATCAATCCTCGCAACGTCTCGGTTCAAGATTCGATTCGCCAGGTTATTTTTATGCGGAAAAATGTAGTGGCATATTCCGGGATGGAGGTTGCGATCGGATCTTCATCGTGAAGGTCGCGTTCACTTATAAGTCGCCCACGACTCCGAGGGCATTGTTGGTGGGAGCGAGCCCAATAGTTGGCTATCCGGATTCCGGGCCGTGCAAAGTTCAAATATTTGGAGTCTTTTTGTCGTGTTAGGGCTTAGTACATGTTGGTGGCTTTTTCTTCCCAAACTCGTACATGCGTCTGCGTGATTTCGGGGATGAAAGAAGAGGACATGGACAGTGCGGGCTGGGCAACGTGGATTACAGAACTTTAGTACCCCGAGAGCCGAGTTGGGGAGATCCCAGATCATGCTGAAAGAAATGAACTGGACGAAACGAATCCTCATTATGGAAAATGGAAAGGGGGAAACAGGATCGAGTCTGGAGAGCAGTAATGTAGGCTTGTTTGCCTTCGCGGGTGACTGGTTTGCTGGTCATCAGACTTCAGGGCGCGTCCACATATGATGACACTCCGAACAATCGAAACAGACCAAAACGGAACCTCCGGGAGAGCCAACTCAGTAACTAAAGAAAATTCCGTGAAATAAATATATTTTGAACGCAGCGAGCATGTTATACTGAGCTTCGAGAAAGGTCCTGAGCTTCGGATCTCGGGGCTTGATGCGCGTCTAAATTGGGATCTTCTTCTGCGCTGGTGATTTATGCAAGACAATGAAGTGGTAAACGACGAATTACCTCAATAATAAACCGATCCCGCGCATTTCTCCAGATGGGAAAGAATGGGCTTAATCGGAGCAAGTGAGGCGGACCTCGCCCTGGTCAAGGGCCCGAATCCGGAGGAGGCGGATCGTTACCACTAGGCCTCTCTAAAATCGATGTGGATTGTCAAGGTGCAAAAATTGGCATAATTTTCCCAAATTAAGGCCAAATTTGTCAGTTCAATGTCTGCCAGAATCGCGCTGTCGAGACGAAGCGAACGTGTATAGAAACGTGGGTGAAAATGGGTGATATGAGGCCATATTCTAGGATTGAGAGTTGAAGCGGGTCGAGGGGGGGTTTTCGAGGCGGAGGAAGGCTTTCCCCAAATGGGGAGGAATTGATCTCTACTTCCTTGCAGGGGTGGAGGGAGGGGACGTCCCCGTTCTGGGCTACCATGGCCCGGGATTTCCTGGCCTCTGACTGGTCCATCGATCGGCACGGAAGACTAAGCGAAACCGTTCTTGTTCTGTTCGACACAGGTACCTCTTTCTTTTTCGGCCAGCTACACGTCCTGCGAAGAAAGGGTGACTTGTACGAAGTAAATAGGAAGCGATCAATTGGAAAGCAGTACCCCTTCTGGCTCTCCACCACTTCGTACCTATCTCATTCATGCGAGGATGGATGTCGTGGATAATTCAAGGCAGGCACAACTAAACAACACGACTTGGATTTGATTCAACTGTGAATTGTGAAATAATCCAAAATCTGCATTGTTTAACCCTTGCCTCCCTCGCATCTTTTTTTTTTGGCCCAACCAGGTGAGCAGCAGCCATATTTGTCTTCATACGAACAAATCCGTCGTAAAATGGAAAATCGGCTTCTTCTGTTCTTCTGTCTTGGTACTTTGCTTTGCAGGCGGAGAGCTGTGTCCCATGTACCCGGGCCTATGGAGCCTCCATTGCTGGCATGTTCTGCGACCACTGTCACGGGTATCTTAATTGTCATTTACGTGTTTTGGGTACTTTGACCCGACGCGATGCTCCATTACATCACAAAGTATCCAGTACCTTTCATCGCTCTATCAATTTGCGAGGCTAGTACTGTCTCTTCAGGTACACTAGACCTGCCTCGCATGCCACCTTGGCGAGGAACCACAACCCCAGCTAATACTTAATTTTTTCATTCCTCTCAGAGTCCCTCCTGCTTCTCTCTCCTACCCGCTCCATTGTTTTCCCCCTTCTCACTCTCCACGACTTGGATCCCTTCTTTTCTCCCACTTCTTCCCTCGAACACGTCCTCCACGCCAGTCTCGAAATCATCCACGTCCACTACCACGCCATCGAGAATAGCTTTATCGTCTTATCACCAATAGTTACTTACCTTGGCCTCGACTTACACGCCTGCGCGCGTTAACCTTGCAAGAGCCTCGTGCGGCCCACCCTTCCAACCTTTCCCCGAGCTTCGCCTGGACATACCGACAAACCCTCAACTCTTCCTCCCCTCCTCACCTCTCTCCACCAACGGCTTCGCGCCGCGTCAAAGAGAAATTTTTAAATCCTCTCAACCATAACGCCGTGTTCTCCTGTCCGCGACACGTCCGGCCCCGCGTCCGACTTGATGCTCCCCGATTGCGGCCTCGGATATTGAAACCACCTGTTCGCCGTGAAAGGCCGCTTCCCCCTCCACCCTTGGCCCAATTTTCCACCACCACGTCCGACGCGCCATTGATGGCAATTATTCGATATGGTATGCCAGCTTTTGGATCCGAACCCAGCGTCGAGCCAATCTCCCCCAACACCGGCAGTTATCGCCCTTGCCTGATCTGACTCGGTTTTCTTTGTAGGTATTATTTAAGCGGAAACCGGTGGCTATTCCACCGCCCCAGGACATCAAAGACAAGAATGCCCAGGTACGTTTGAACCATTATTCACGGGCCCATTTCCTTTTCTTTCTCTCGCGTCTTAGGATGTAGTCGTTGACCTTGCATTTTTTTTTTTTTCCTGTGAAGGTGTGGTATATTCCCCAGACTGGCGAGATCTTCGCGACCTATGAGGAGTACCTATCAAGGTGAGCTATGCCCCTTCATTTCCCACGACCTTGCCTACAATGATTTACTAACGTCGTGTAGAATGGATTTTTACAAACAGGTTAGCGATCCTCACATACATTTGCAACGGCCGCGTCCAGGAGACTTACGTCGCCATCTAGCCGCGGTTCATCTGTCAGATAACTGGCCAATCGCGCCTGACCTTTTTCGACGCCCTCAAGAGTGAAGTAAGCATAGGCTCGCATTTTATATTTTCCTCCTTTTTGGCCGACGATTGTTAACCGCTAACTGTTTTGCAGCTCGCCGGAGCCAAGGAAGTTGAACAAGCCTTCCCCGAAGCGCTTAAGGGCCCGGTCCTCCGCAAAGTGCAGTTCCAAACAGTTTCCCGTATCGATACGCTCGTTGACAAGATCTACGAAGAGTTCCGCGCCGACTACTACCCTGGCGAAGCCGTGACGGTCGAGATATATACTGGAGAGAAGCTGCAGGGTGTAGTAAGAGACAAGACCAGGTTTGGAAGCAAACAGCACCCGGACGGCTCGATCAGCGACCCCTTTTCGCGTTATTTTGTCAGTCTCGACGATCGTCCCGACGAAGAAGCGGTGGTGGACGATCATCACATTAGCAGGGATCGAAAGATCTTTACGAAAGCTGTCCTCCGGTCCTTTATCAAGAGGACGGTTACTCGCGAGGCATGGAATGGAGCGCCCTGGTTGGTCAAGCACGAATACGCGACGATGTACCATATCGATACCCGCGTCCCGGTCCATCTCCGACATGATACGAAGCTGCAGGAGCGCAAGATCTTAGCGGCGCAGAAGAAGGCACTTCAACCCTCAGGTACCAACGGCGTATCAACCAACCAAGAACCTGTGCGCCTGCCCGAGTTGAAGCCGAAGAGCCACAAGGCCAAATCTCAGCAAACCGGGGGCGGCATGGATCAGCACCAGGTCAAAAAGACAAAAGATAGCGGCGGCAAGTTCTTACACATGGTATCACCGGATAGCTCCTTCAAGTTCCCCACTGGTCTTCGCGGTAATGTCCCCCAGATCGTTCGTCCAGCAACCCCGCCTCCGCCTCCTCCGCCGAAATATCCCATCGAGGATCTGCAGGTGGGCCCCCGTGCTGGTGTTGTCCGGCCGAAGCTGCGATTCTTGTGCAGTGACCCTCCTACATCCACCGACGCTGTCATTCCGCTCGCGGACAAGATAAGGATGGAGTCTGTGGGCCAGCTTCTGGAAACCTGGGATACCCTCAACGTATATTGCGAAATCTTCATCCTAGACTCGTTTACGTTTGATGATTATGTCGAAGCCTTGTGTGTGACTTCGGAAGAGACCCCAACCCAGCTGCTGGAGGAAATTCACTGCAGCATCCTCAAAGTTCTTGTGCGCTCGGAGCAGGACGGTGGCAAGGTAGAGATCACGTTACCGGAGATTGAAGAGGCCGACGATGAGGATGAAGATGACGAGAATGCCGACGCTACGCCTACTCCCGAACCAGAGCCCCAGCCTACCAAACGCGCCACTAGGAGTAGTCTTGCCAAACTCGAAGCCGAGCGACTAGCGGCCGAGGCTGCTGAGGCTGAGCGTCTGAGCCAAGTGGCGAAGCTTGCCCATAGGGCCGAGGAGCTTCTGGAGGGCTATGATTGGATCGAGCAATTGCGAAAGAGAGACTTCAAGGACGGTGGATGGGAGATGATTCTCGTGGGCCTTCTCTACCAACTATCGAAAAACGAGCGAAAAACCGAACTCTGCGAGAAGCTGCTCGGCCAGCTCGTTCCTCCAAACATCGATCCAAGCCAACAAACGGTGGTTGAGCAATACGCGGCCATGGACGTCAACTTTAGAGTCCAGATTATCCAGCTCCTCTGCATGCTTACGATGGAGACCAAGGCTGTGAGGGGATATATGGAGGATTGCAGCGAGCAAATGACCAGCTACCGTAAGGGCAAGATCGAATGGCAGAGGCAACGAAAGCAAGCGTAAGTTCATATTTGGTCTCTTGAAAACTCGACTGGGAGGCGGAAGCCGAACCAAATGGTATTGTTGAAGACGCTAACGCTCAGTGTGTGCAGGCTTGAGGAGCTTAAGGGTCTCAATGAACAGCGTAAGATTCTACTGCCGGACAATATGCCCCCATCACCGCCTCCCGAGCTAGACAAGAGTACGGAGGATGCCAAGGTGACGGATACGCCGTCATCTCCGGCCGAAACACACGCAACAGAAGACTCGGGAGATGACGCGACATCTCGTCGCGGGCTTCGACGAGCGCGTGATAGAGCAGCTGAGAGGGAGAAGCGCCGACTAGCAGAGATTGAGAAAAAGAAGGAGGCAGAGTTGGCGGCCAAAGTGCCTAAGCAGTCCAAGCAGTTCCTCAGGTTACTCAAGGATATTCAGCAAAAGGAGGAATTTATCAAGAGCTGCGAGGACGAGATTGCTGTTTTCGACAACGACATTCGCGAAGCCGACTGCCCACGCACACGAGTTCTTGGAAAGGATCGATTTTGGAACAGGTACTATTGGTTCGAACGCAATGGAATGCCATACGGCGGTCTTCCGGACAGCTCGACAGCGCACGCCGGATACGCCAATGGGTGTATCTGGGTGCAAGGTCCCGACGAGATGGAGAGACAGGGATACATTGACCTGCCGACGGAGTTTCAGAACGAGTACAAGGCCAAGTTTAACATGACAATCCCGGAACGGAAGGCGCGTGAGGAAGGAGCGACGAGCGTGTACAATGCGTACCAATGGGGCTTTTACTCAGAGCCAGGGGAGCTGGAGGAGCTGCTGAACTGGTTGGATCCGCGTGGATTCAACGAGCTCCGGCTGCGCAAGGAAATTGTCGCCTACAAAGACAAGATAATCCAAGGCATGGAGAACAGGAAGGCGTATCTTACACCGGCCAAGAAGGAAGAGGAGGCGGAAGAAGAGGGCAAGAGCACGCGCATGAGCACTAGGACGCGCACGCGACAGACACAGACCCCCGAGCTGCCCAACTATCGGTGTATCGGTTGGGAGAACACGATGGCCATCGATCAGCTAGGCCACCTTCATATCGACCCGCCCCCTCCACCCCGACCGAAGAAGCAGGCTCGCAAGAGGGCAGCGTCATCTGGTGGAGGACCACCAAGGAAGTCCCAGCGTCGTTGATATGTCCCGATTCCCCCTTCCTTTCTTGCCTCTTTCTTTCTTCTTCCTAAATCGACTTTAATTTGGACATCGAAGGCGATACGTCCGAGCAACGCGTCACGCTTGTTTGGTGCCCCGATTCAAGGCGAGAAGGCGTTTTCTGTTACCGACCCAAACCAAGATTATTCTGGATTTGCATCCTTGCGACTCGCGATAGATAGCATTCCGCTGACTTGTTTTTTTATTATTTTTGATTTTTCATGCCCTGTTTGTTTACCATTCGCATTGGAGGAGTCGGGAGTTTATTAACTTGTTGGAAGGAACGGAACATAACATCTGGCCCTCGAGCGGACGTCCAGCCTTGTCTTGCTCTTAGGCCACATGTTCTCGGGCCAAGTTGTTTTGTGTGTTTCCCACTCGCCTATCATGTAGCGCGTCTCAACTCTTGACGTTTTGTGTTTTGATTGCACGTTGCTTTGGACGGGGCTGTAAGGAGAAAGAGGAGGATAAGCCAGTTCCAACTTGCATTTGACGGCCGGCGATGAAAGGGACTTAAAAAGGGAAGGAATGCATGGCGCAGACAGAAACAAGATGGACACACTTGAACTTGGCCAAGGGAACCTGGAAATATAGAGCTGGTAGCATGGTATAAACAGGCGCGTGTTTTTTATCTGGTTTTCTTTTTCCTGATTTTTTTTTCCTCAACATTGTATTATTCTTTTTTGGCGGCTTAGCTCTGGATGCAGTCTTACGTGTTGGATGGTCAGAGCATAAGTATTAATGGGATTTTGGATTTGGATGCGACAGGGCGTTTATAATGACGGAGGGAGAGTGAGCGCGGGGGATCAATGTCTGGACCCTGGAGGGTTCTGTCCTGTACTGACAGGGTATTTCTTGAAACTATTTTCACTTGACCTACTTCGTATTTCTTACATGGATATGCGAGCAGAGCGTCCTGAAAATTGTCGACTAATAGCATTCGCACTCGCATTCGCACTTACGCTCGCACTCGACTGCGTGTTCCATACTGGGCTAGGCTCGGTATCGAGCGAGCCTTGGACGGGCGAACCCGCTCTACGAGTCGTCATCTTTCGGTTCGATTATTAAACAGCACACGGCACGGGCAGAGGAGGGGATGCCAGCTCCGGCGGCTGGAGTTTGAAAGAAGGGGAAAAAAATTTGATATGATCATTGACTTAATGCTGCGATCATGGTCATGCCGAGATCGGCAGGGCATGCATTACGTGCACGGAAGGAATAAATGCGCCGACCGAGCCATGATATTGGTGGTTCCGAATGACTCCGGCGTTCGAACGGGGTGAGACGGAATTGGAAAGGCGTAAGTGGTCGATCAATGATAGATTTGGGATAATGGCTTGGACCTTGACTGCGTTGCATGTCAAAGGACCTGCATGAGTACGGCTGTCCACGGTTCAAATTCCTCAGCATGGCAGCGCAGAGTCGTAGCAATGGATTCGTGGGCAAATAACTTGGGAAGAAAAAGATCGAGGTACACCCAGCGAATCCGGAAACTGCGGAAACATCGACAAGGCATTTGATTGATGTCATAGGTCAGGACGGGATGGCGACGTGCGCTGGCTGGTTGACACACTGGGACTTGACCATGTTGTTTCAGTCGGTTCCCGACTTGGGGTTTCATCGTCGAGAGGATCAAGAAACACCATAAGAAACAGTGGATGGACGCAAATATATAAGAGGCTTGAGTGTCCGCGCTCTGTTCCACCTCTTCATCCTTTGGTCTTTAATCCTCCTACGTAATTCTCACATCACCCGAAATCTATTCATTCATCTCTAAAACCAATCAACTGGCACTCAGGCTTCACCATTCCAACCAACCTCGACAAAATGGCGACAGAGTTCCCCGAGATCAAGCTTCACTGGTTCAGTCCACCTCTCCTCCTCGTCAATCCCACAACGTAGCCGTCTCCCCCGCGACTAACACTACACCTCTCCCACACAGGCTCAACGAATCCCGCGCCCAGCGCATAGTCTGGCTCCTCGAAGAGCTCAAACTTCCCTACACCATCGAAGTCTACCACCGCGAAAACATGCTCGCCCCAATCTCCCTCCAGAAGGTTCACCCCCTCGGCAAATCCCCCGTCGTAACCATCTCCTCCGCCACCACCTCCGAACCCCTCGTCCTCGCCGAATCGGGCCACATCACCCAATACCTCTGCGACCACTTCGCACCCACCCAAAACCCCTCCCTCGTACCGCGCAAATGGCAACCGGGCAAAGAGGGCCAAGTCGCCGGCGAGACCGAGTCCTACCTGCGCTTCGCCTACCTTCTCCACTACGCAGAGGGCACCCTCATGATGACCGTGCTCGTCTCCCTCATCCTCGGCATCCTGGGGTCGCCCCGCGTGCCTTTTCTCGTGAGGCCCGTTTCGGGCTTCGTGGCTAATAAGGTGCAGAATGCGTTCGTGTTCCCTAACGCGAAGAGGAATTTTGAGTTTTTGGACGAGTTGCTGAGGACGGCGCCGGATGGGGGCGGGTATTTGTGTGGGGGGGAGTTGACGGCTGCGGATATTCTTATGAGTTTCCCTTTGATTGCTGCGAGGAGGAGGTTTGCTCATATCGGGAAGTGGGAGGGTGGGAGTTTGGAGAAGGCGTTTCCTCGTGTTTGGGCGTATTTGGATAAGTTGGAGGCTGAGGCGGGGTATCTGCGGGCGGTGGAGAAGATTAAGGAGCTTGATGGCGGCAAGTTTGTTGCTATATAGGTTAAATCGGAGAGGAGGACATTGGAATTGGGAGTAAGAAGAAGGGGAGGTGATATAAAATTGGTATCATTGCTGTTATCGTTAGACTCTAGAACCCTCTCACATCTTACACACTTAATACATCCATGAACTCTCCTCACTACCCCCCCCCCCGGGACCGAGATCTATCCCATGAGCTGCGTAATATCCTCCGGCGGCCACCTCACCTGCGCAAACGTAAGACACCTCTTGATGCTCTGCAGAAACTTGCGCGTCACCTCGTCGCCCATGACATGGCCCCTCTCACCCGTGTGCAACTTCTCGCGCGCGCTTCGCTCGTGGATACCTACCATGGTCACGCCGATGGGCCACGCCGCCTTGCCGATGCTGAGCCGGAGGTAGCCGTCGTTGGCGTCGACGTAGCGCCGTTCCTGCGCCGCCTTGACGATTTCGACGACGGGTTCGAGGATGGAGTCTTCGAGTTCGCCTTTTTCGAACTTTTTGAAGAGCTGTGGGGATTGGTGTTAGTACTGGGGTTTGGGAGGGGAGGGAAGTGGAGCGTTAGAACGATAACTCACCGGCTTCATGTTCTCCCGCGTCTGCACCATGGCATTGTACGCCGTCTTGCTCGTCAACGTATCCCTCCTCTCCTTCTCCATCGCCTTCTCATACTCTGAGAGCACAAGCGTAAAATACGACGCCAGCTGCCTAAACAAATACTTCCTCCCCTCCTTATCCTTCGGCACCGTCCCATGCACTTTCATATCCTTCTCCTCCACAAGCCTCAACGTCGTCGGGATCGGTCCCGCCGTAACCACAGTCGTAAGCCTCCTATACCTCCTCAACCTCTCCAAATGGCTCTCCCCAAACAAAACGGCCGGCGCACCAATGTCTCTCAGCTTTTCCACCAGCTCCTCCTCGGAGATATCCTCCTCGTCCTCCCCGACCTCTTCATCCTCTCCCTTCTTCTCCTCCACCAGCTCTGGTAAACCAAGCCTCTTCCTCCTCTTCCTCTCCTCTTCCCTCTCCTCCTCTTCGCGTCGTTTCCTAGATTCCTCGGCTAACCGTCGCCGCTTCTCCTCTCGCGCGCGATTCTCGGCCGCCTCGTCCTCTTCGGCCTTCCGCTTTTCGGCGGCGCGGGCTTCGCGCTTTTCTTCGAGGGCGCGCTGGGAGGCTTCGTAGGCTGCGCGGCGGGATGCTTCGAGGTCGGCGCGGCGGACGAATTTGCGGGATTGGTCGGGTTTGTTCTTGGAGATTTCTTTGGAGAGGAGGGAGTCGAAGTCCATGGTTGCTGGTTCGTTCGCCCTTGGGGGGGACAGTGAAGGTCTCTCTTTGTGTTGGGTCGATATTAAATTTTGGATTTAATTGTATGGAGCTTCTCCGAGGTATGCTACCAGAATGTATTATGGGCGTGGAATTTGTACGTGGATCGAGATAGTTTTGGTGGAATGAAGTCTTGAAGTTGGATTCTCCAGTGTTCTGAGGTTGAAAACGGTAACGCCGCCGAATCGGATAACTGCAAAGCCCCGCCTACTCTCAAATTTCAGCCCGATCCCCAGAACCATAATTACGGACCGCCCCGCTACGCCATCTCACAAGCTCCAAGTCGCACAGCTTCAGCACACGAGCTTCCAGCTTATTCCTGCCTCAAGTTTCAACCCGCCAAACACCTCATAATCGCCCGAAAATGAGCTCAATGCATTCGGACAGCGACGATGACGAAAGGACGCGATTTCTCGTAAACATATTCTTCAGAACTGGCTCTTACCCAAGGCACGTTGCCTCACTCACATCCTCACTCTACCGAACGGTACCTGGCCTCAACACAGCCGCAATCCCCTCCAAACAAAGGAACCGCTCGCTAACCATTACTTCCCCCTCGGCATCAGACCAGAAGACATTCATTCGAGATTTCCGCCACCGCATGTCTCAATATACGCTAACTCAGATTCTACCCTAACCGAACTCGCAGCTCTCTTCTCGGCAAATGCTTCTCCATCCCCTCTCCCTAGCCCGGCCACTGGCACCCGTCTATCATTCCAGCTCGTCTTTCCAGACATCCGAAACATGCAGCAACGCCGCTATCTGACCAAGGACCTCGGGAGCGTGGTCATAGGAGATCTAGGCCCGGGTGATGCGCCGGACGAGCAGGCGCTTGAGAAGCTGCGGGAAGAGGTTGAGAGGGACGGGCGCAAGACGCTAGGACAGGCCAAGTTCGTCGTGGGCGATAGCGTCTCGTGTGCCATCTTACCGCCCTTGGAGGACGGCTCGGTGGCGCTAGGTGTTCCCGCTAGGAGGGAGAGCAAGTCATCTGGATGGGAAGGCGGAAGGATGGGGAGAGATGGACGAGGAGGGGGTGGGGCCTTTGGGAATGCGCCATCGTTCCCGACCGGGGAGTGGAGGAGAGGTGAGCGGCTGCCCAACGCACCACGGCAGAAAGGCGGTAGAAGATGGTGATGAAAAAAAGGATACCCCCCATTGTTTTTCTTTTCACTTGACAGTTCTTTTTTGGTCTTGACCCCTACGGGACAGTTTTTGGCGCAGCCTCTTTATAAAGATACCACTGGCCCCTGTACGACTATACGGCCAGAAGGCCGACGAATTGGGTCTTCATAGGATTGACAGTATTCCGCAGCGGACGAAAGAACCCGGCATAATCCCAGTCTATTTCGTTTCTTATATGTACACGTACACTCCGCCCACCAAACTTTGCTTTCTCTTGACGCGCTCTTTTTATCGCTCGTAGACAGTGTCGCCCCTCCTCTTCGCTCGGAAATCCCAGAGACCCTAAAGGAAATGTCAGAAACCACTGCGTGGGAGAGACAATTGTTGTCTCGTCGAGGATCGAGGACCGACTCACGTCCGTCTTGTAGGCGAGATATCCGATAATCGAGGGCACCACCACGACGTACATGAGGGTGATCCTGGCAGTCCTAGGGGTCCATCGGAAGTACAGGTGCCTCTTCGAGTGCATTTCTATGGATCCAACGTTAAAGGTCTCGTTCGCAACGGAGGGCAGTCGGGGTGTCTCGAAGGCTTACCAGCTGCCCTGACAATGGCAGGGTCGAGGGGGGCTGTCCAGAGTCTTTTGTCAGCACTTGTCGCGGTCAATTGGCATAGCAGCTGCGCCTACCGTGTCCGGCCATGTTGTGTGAATTCCTTGCGGTTCAATGTCTCTAGACAAGGAGTGGTTGTAGCTGTCTATCGAGGACCTCAGGACCTTCTTCTTTGGTGATGAACCGTTTTCCTTGGATCTTGAAGTTGGACGGCGGACTGTCGGATGTCACGAAAGTGGGTCTTCACGTGATCTTCATTGGTCATACAAGTTTCCCGCCAATTCTCGATGTTGCTCCCCGTAGAATCCAGAAGAACCAATCACATGCCTTAGAATCAACACCCGTACTCCACAGGCCAATCCCCAGCCGGCAGCAGCCGGAATTTGGCCGTTTTCCAGGCTGACACTTTAAACTGGCTCATACTCCCCACTTAAAGACGTCAACCACTTGGCTTCGGAACGACCGCCTGATAAGAGGCACGCGCTCCGCTTCGTCGTCACTGTTGGCCACTAACACCTCCTCTTTCCCTTCCCATCCCTCTCAACAATTCTCCCTTCTTCACCAACAAACTTGTGTGTTTCGATTTTCCCTATCTCCTTATTTCTTTTTCCTTTGTTCTACCTACCCATACAACATCTTCTTCAATATGAAGCCTAGACGGAATAGGTGCCAGTCCGCGAGGCGAGTCACCGCCCAAGTCCTCTTACCGTTCCTCGCACTATCTCCGATCGCCGCCGCTTTCGCTCCCATACCTGCCGCAGCCGCTCCGCCCATCCCGAACCTCGACGATATCCTCCTCTCTCCCGCGCCCCCGGGTCCCTCAAGGCCAGAGCCTCCGGTACCGGCAGAGCACGTTTTTAATCTCCGACACGTCTTCCACCATGGGACTTACAAGTATCCCCGTTTGCACAAACGGAAAGATGTACACCCAGACGCACAGGTGATGCTTGTTGCCGAGGATGACTACGACGAGATGGCGATACCGACACGGTTAAAGGTCAAGAGCGGTGGCACCCGTATCGAACGCCTCATCGATAGGCGGCCGTCTGTTGTCGATCCTCTTGTGGCGGAGAGCCGGAGGAGCGGTCGTGTTGCCGCGTTCGGACCATCAGCCTGGACTGTCGAGGACGTGCCGGCGCCGAACGTGACTGATAAAGATACCATCCTGAACCTGGCTCTGATCGCATCCAACGCATACGTTCAAAACGAGGACGGTGCTGATTGGGAGGATATCGATGATCCCTACAATCACGGCGTGAGCTTTGGCTGGGAGTTGGACGGTCTACGAGGCCACGTCTGGGTCGACGAGGGAAACAGCACCATCATCATCGGTCTCAAGGGGACATCCCCTGCTTTATTTGATGGGGAGGGTACGACGACGAACGATAAGATTAACGATAACCTGTTCTTCAGCTGCTGCTGTGCACAACAGGGCCAGTGGTCGTGGACAAAGGTCTGCGACTGCGCAACGGGAACGTATAGTTGCAACAACACTTGCGTCCGGCAGGCGCTGTACGATGAGAACCGCTACTATACCGCCGGCCGAGAGCTCTACTCTAACATCACCGAAATGTATCCCAACTCCAATGTTTGGCTTGTTGGCCACTCGCTCGGCGGTGCCGTTAGTTCGCTCCTTGGTCTGACCTACGGTGTCCCCGCCGTCACGTTCGAGGCCGTGCCGGAAGCTCTCCCTGCTAGCCGCTTAGGCCTTCCTGTTCCTCCTGGCGCCGACCCGGATACGCCCCAGGCCCGAGATTACACCGGGACTTTCCACTTCGGCCACACGGCCGACCCCGTCTACATCGGAACCTGCAACGGTGCTACTTCGACGTGCTCTTTTGGCGGCTACGCGATGGAATCTGTCTGCCATACCGGATTCGAGTGCACCTACGATGTCGTCGCCGATAAGGGTTGGCGAGTCGGCATTGGTACTCACAAGATCCGGTCCGTCATCCACGATGTGATCATGAAGTACGACACAGTACCTGAGTGCAAGCGTACGCCTGAATGCCGTGACTGCGCCAACTGGAAGATGTACGAGAGCAACGGCACCGAAAGCACGACGACGTCCTCATCTTCAACTACGAGTATGACCCGGACTCGGACGGAAACCTGCGAGACTCCTGGCTGGTGGGGCTGCTTGGACAAGACGACCACGACGATTGCCACTAATTCGTCTGGAATTATTACTACTACACCGACCAGCACTTCGTCCACCTCTACCTGCAAGACCCCCGGTTGGTTCGGTTGCAAGGACAAGACTACCACCACCACAGAGGAGGAGGAGACTACTACGACTAAACCCGTGACGACCATCCCTTCAACAACGGCGTCGACCACTTGCCTTACGCCTGGCCGTTTCTGGGGTTGCTACGACGAGACGACAACGACCACGGGAACGGGTACGGAAACGGCCAGCCCGATCCATTCCATCACCCCCGTCCCAACGTCCACGCCAGCTACCACCACCAGCCCAACAGAGCCCACGACGACCACCGAAGCACCTCCCGCGGAATCGTGCGTCCGTCGGTCGTGGCTTGGCTATTGTCTCGAGTGGGGTGATGGAAATAAGGAACCCGTTGAGCCGGGCGAACTTTGAACGAAACAAATCAGCAGCGGCTCATTCTCATTCGCCCTTTTCACGTGCCTTTTTGCTTAACACCTTGCTTTTTTTGCCTTGGGTCCTTCATTTCCCCGTTTTGTGTTTTTACCATGAGATTTATCATTTTCTGGCATAATGGCGTTTGACCGAGATGGCAGTCGGTCCGATGAGGGTGTTGTATTGTCTGGATTCTTCTTTTTCTTCCGCTCGGGATTTTCGGATACATTTGAATTAGGGGAAACTATACACGAGGCTGGATTGCCTGCTCGGGAGTTCAGACAGAACGTATACATACAATTACAATTACGACTAAGCATGTTAGACTTGATTTTGGATAGTTATTAGTCTATGAAAGAATATCAATCAATCAAGATGGGAATGTCCATTCGCGTGTCAAAAAGTGTTGAAAGACAGTCCTAGTTTCACCCAAATCCCGTGAAGAAGAGTACCCGTCTTTAACAAGTTCGAAACTTCTTGCTCACAATGTTTTATATGTACACCCTAAACTCCAAAAAACCAACCCTATCGCCCCGAGTCCTGGCCAATCCGTTCATTACATGGCAAAATTCGTTTCAACAAAGAAGAAGAAGAAAGAACAGCCTACTCCTACGACTCATCCATCCTATCATCATCGCCATCTCTCTTCCTACCCCCCAACATGCCCGCCACCTGCTCCAACTCCCCAACTTCCCCTTTACTAAACTTCCTCCCCTCGGCCTGCCACTCCCCATCCCTCACCTCGCCCTGACTCCCCAACTCTAACCCCCTCACATTCTCCAAATGCTTCCTCGTTAGACCTTCGACATACCCCACCCTCTCGCTCCTCCACGTCCTATTCCTCTTCGAAGAACCCCCCTCCCCGCCTTCATCGTCGTCACCGCCCGCGCCCGCGGCCTCCGCCAAGTCAGGCCCCATATTCTTCAAAGAAGTAGACAGGGCCCTCAAAGCCTGCAACTGCGACAGCGTAAAAGCCGTAGTCGTGCGTATGGGCGTCTGCGCATCGCCCTCAGCGAGCGAGCCCACGTCGCGCAAAAACTCCAACGGCGGCGCCGCCTTGCCGTCCGAGTCTTCCTTCATGACCCCCTCGTCGGCTGCTTCTGCTTCGCCTCCGCCGACGAGAGAGCGAAGCTGGCGGAGAAGGGCGTCATTTTTGGCCTTTTCGGCTTGGAGGAGGACGTTTAGACGTTGCGAGGCGCGAAGTTTTCTCCGTAGCGCGTTAACAGACGTGATCGTCGGAAAGCTCGTTTCTTGGTCTGGAGTGGCTGCAAGAGCGGCAGCAGCGCGCTCAAAGTCTAAGCCTTCGTAGTGCTTCAATTTAATCCAGGGTCGATCCTCAGGCGCGATGCGTAGAAGGTGCTTCATGACGTAGAGTTCAAAGATGTCGAAGTTGCGGTCAATGGAGGAGCACAGCAGGGTCTCGAGTTGATGTGTTCCGTTGTCGATTTCGAACTTGGCGGCATCTTCGGCTGCGAGGGGCGGAGGGGCCGTGCCGTGGTTGGATGAAGAGGAGTAGGAGGACGATTTTTTGGCGTCGCGGAAACCGAGGGATTTGGGGGGTGTGGAGGAGAGGAATTGTTCGATTGATTTGAGGGCGCTCTCGGCGAGGATGTTTACAGTGTTGATGATGTCGTCGAGGAGACTGACGGGCGGGTAACCGAAGTGTTCTGTTAGGAGTTCATGATCTGCTTTTTGAGAGGAGGGAGGTTGCGCCATGGTTGGACGTGGAACGTCTGCACTGGACGTTGTGCACGAGTTGTGGTGGCCTTAGCAATCTTCCTCTCTGGTCGGGTCGGGAATTGCTTAATGGTGAAGGTTCAAAACGCGACGCGGAAATCAATTTGGCAGTTCAAAATGTTGACGAAGTCGCACTGAACTTGGAGGCGCAACAGCGCCTCTAGCCGCTTGTACTTCGTACCTGCCCAACTGCAATGCACATGCAACTTCCCCCAGAACAGAACCTGCCCCACTATGAAATCTTACGTCACCAGCTGAACCACTAAGACGTTCCCACAAGAGAGAGAGAGCGATCCCAGGGGTCCTCGCTCGCCATTGCACCGCCATCCAGCCCAACGGTCAGAACCTAAATCCTCGGATTTGATCTTTGCTTTCCAGATCATCTGGAATTGCCCGCCAACCATGGATTCGATCAAGGAAAAGTTCAATTCCGTCCGCGGCGATGGCGTCCGGAATCAAGTCGTACGTTCGAACAACCCCCAGTTTATCCCTCTCCCCTTCCCCCTTCTGCCCTCGCCGACCTTATCTTTTCACACCATGAATCACGACTAACAACCCGTCCCTGAGGGATTATATACAGTCCGGGATGCTCCATCGTGATAAACGTTCAACTCCCCCAGCATATAACCCGCGACCCATCAACGAACTCCGCGATCCCTCAACCTTCGAACCCCCTCCCCGCCGCCGCCTCGATCCCTCCGCCCCCCTCCCACCCCCTCCACCTCGAACTAAAAACCCACCGACATCCTCCGCCTCCTCCGCCGCGAAACCCGGTCCTCCGGCCCTTCCTCCCCGCCTTCCACCGCGGACGCAACCTCCCTCAACAACGGACCCTTACCTTAATCAATCTGCAGTATCCCGCCTCGGCGCAGCGGGCATCTCTGTTCCCGGCCTAGGAATCTCCTCCTCCTCTTCCTCCACAACGCAGCAACAGCCACAACCGCCAGCCGAAGGAACCACTTGGGCCCAGAAGAAAGCCGCCCTCCGCACCGCGAACAACTTCCACAAAGACCCTTCGTCCGTATCGCTCCAGGACGCGAAGAGCGCCGCCGAGACGGCCAATAATTTCAGACAGAGGCACGGTGAGCAGGTTGCGGCGGGGGCGCGTGCGGCCAATAACTTGAATCAGAAGTATGGTATCGCCGATCGTGTGGGTGGGATGGTGGCGGGACAGAATACGGGGCAGCAGCATGCCGCGGGTGAGGGGGGTGCGGCTGCGTCGCCGTCGTCATCCTTGTCGTCGGCGGCTGCGTTGGTGACGAAGAAGAAGAAGCCGCCGCCGCCTCCCGTTCCGAGGAAGAGGCTTGGAGCGGCCGCTGGGGCTGGGACTGGCCTTGGAACTACGGATGATGCACCACCTCCGCTGCCACTGGCGACGAAGCCGCGATTTTCATGAGAACAATAGGTAGAGGTACACGAGGTGAAGAGGAAGAGGAAATGTATTACGGTTGGGGCGGGGGCCTAAACAGCATACATACGGTTCATGTCTCGTCATATTGAGGGTTAGCATTGCATATCATTAGTCACAGCGTACATGTAATATCACTCTACATCAAGAACTTCACATCCAAATCGATAGCGTTTTGAGAGACTTTTTAGGTGTTCGCTGTTGGAGAGCCGCCAAAAGAAAGGGCGCGCACTCGTGGGTCATGGCTTCGTACCCCGTTTTTTTTTAGTCTTATTGCATCCTGTTCAGTTTGCAAAGGTATATATGCCAAATCCCATCTTGAATTTTGGTCATATGATGCGTCTATACGCGAGAAAACAACGGTCGAGGGGGGGAAAGGTTGGAAGGGTTTGAGGGGATATGGCATGCAAAAGGATGGATTAAATTATCGTCTTCTTAAACCTTCTCCTCCTTGAGGCCATGCTTCCAGATAGTGACATAGGGGGTGATGCCATCCTCACGGTAGTTAAGGAGGACGACCCTATATTGACGCAGGTTAGATAACTGGTTTGCGAGAGAGCAACCGCCGGTGATGCAGCGGTGGGGCGGGGGATCTTACATAGCATCGGGGTCCATGGTCTCGCCGGTATAGAACTCGTAGTCCTTGAAGTTGGGGAGGAGGGTCTCCTTGACGAACTTCGAGGCACCAGTCTCAAAGGCCTTGACCTCATCCGCAGAAGCACCTTTCTCCTGGAGCTTAGCCTTAACGGCCTTCATGTAACCTGTGTTTCGAAACAAGTTAGATATACCGGGATTCAAAGCCGTCGTCGTCTCCAATTGTTGTTTGCGGGAAGGCTTGGGTGCAGGTAGAGCTGGGGGGCGTTTCATCGCGTACCCTTGAGGTAGGCAAGATAGCCCTTCTTGTCGAAGGAGGTCGACTGGAGACGGAAAGAGTGGACGATGTTGTTGACCTTGACGGCCGCGTCCTCGAGGGCCTCCTCGGCCTCCTCAGCAGAGGCATTGGCACCAGTGTCTAAAAGATTAGAAAAAAAAAAAAAAGTTCCGGAGTTAGTGGCACATGCACAACGAGGTCAACTGCAAAACAATTTTTCTATCGCGAGGGGATGTACGAACCGACGTTGACGGCTTCCTCGGTAATCATAGCGCAGTCGGCCTCATAGACGATGCCGCCGACCTCCTTGAGGTCGTACGAGTCCGAGAGGATCTCGTCTCCAGAGATGATGTCCTGCAGGTGCGGGGTTCAGTGCGCAGTTCTAAACAGAGCCAACAGGGGTGTTGAAGATGGGATAACATACCTTGAAAATAATCATTTTGCTGGAATGTGAAGATGGGTATGGAGAAACAGAAGAAGTATGGAAGGGAAAGGGGGGATTTGAAGGCGGGGCTGATAGAAGAAAAGAATGGAGGGATCAGGATTGTAGGTAGGAAGAGGCGACTATCGTGGATCTGAATCTGTGGTGGGGGAGGAGGGGTCTCGAAAAAATGTCTGTCAAGGATCACGCCTGCCATTGGACCGTTGGGGCCATGGTGCAGCTTGCAAAGCTCTTGGGTTCCTGCAAAACATTTCACGTGATCCATACCCCTCTATTGGTAAACTTCAGGTTTGACGTTCCAGTTTTCAGGCCAAGGTGTAAGGACAAAGTTGGAGGCTGCGAAGCGGCAAAAGTCAACTGTTTAGCTCCACCCGATGACTGGCTTCAGTGTTTTACTAAGTAGTTATAGGGATGCTCTCTAAAATCAATCCTCTAGGTAATGTCATCCATTAGAAGATTATAAGAATTGGATGGGCAAGAAAGTGGCACACGGAATGCAGGTCCCTGCCTCGAAGGAGAAGAATAAGCAAGGATAAGGCCAAACCAAACAAAAAAAAAAAAAAAAAAAAGAC